AAGTCAAAACCGTATTAGACATAAACTTCAAAATTTGGAGAACGTCTTATATTTTTTTTAGTACCTTTTCATTTTAATGTGATTGGATCAAATTAATGAGACTTATTAATCAAAACCATGATTGAGCACAATGAAGACGTTGAAACTAAAAAAAAATGTTAGAACCCAAGTTGACAAAAAAATGTTTACATATTTTTAACTATTTTTAAGTTTATTATTATTTTTTTTTTTATATCTGTGACTGTCTAGGTCAATTTATGCAACTAATCTCACGAGCGATTCTACAACATTTGGTGGCGGAAAACGCATAGAAATTACTAATTCTTAAGGTAGATGGTCATTATTATTATTTTTTTTTATTAACTTTGAAGTTTTCAACCATAGAGGTTTATTTTTCTTATATTTCATACCACTTTGCAAATCCATTTCATTTTTCTTTTAAATAACATCGTCGTAGTAAGATTTATGAACAATATAGACTATATGAAATTTACTTAAATATTTTGAATTCACATTCTTAATAATACTTATATGATAACTTAAACGCGTATTAAAAATTTATAATTATGCATCATTCAAAAATAAATTACAATGGGTAAGAAATAAATCATAAAATGTACTTTAAATTTATATCCAATAGTTCTTATTAAGAGACATGAATAATTTTGAATATACATGCAAGCAACCATATCATGGCAATCTTATTCATCTTATTCAATAATTTGTTTCAAATCAAGTACGTTGTAAGAAGTTTACAACCACTGTACATACAATTATAACAAAATCATCCTACTTTAATTACAACAACTCTCTAAATTACTCCAAGATCAAAACACAAACTTTTGTACCATCAACAACACTAATTTTGTACTAAAATAAAACACTAATTTTTTAACCTAAAGTCGTTTATTAAAAAGAAAACTTTGACAATACAAAATTCACCAATTAATGATATATAAGGAGCAAACTAATAATGGTTTAGGAAAATAAAAAAGGCTAAGGAAGCTGATGTTGTTGTCTACCCAATTTTCTAAGCCACAACAGAACGTGCACCACCATCGCGCACAAGAACCCGAGCGCTGCGCTCGAGCCCACCAGCGACACTCCTGCGCATATCAGCATCACAAATGCCTGCTCCTTGCTGTTCATGTCCCTCGCTGCCATCGCCAGCTCCACTCCTGCAAACAGTAGTAGAACTCCCAAAATCCCTACCGGAAATTCATTCAGAACCTATTCAAAAAAAAAAAAAAATCAATTATTATATATATATTGATATTTACTTGTAGATTTTTGCTAAGGATCTCAAAAATCATGAGACCTAAGAAGATTTATAAGATATTCTGGTTATTCCTCTCATAGTCTCAATTTATTTATTAATTAATAAGATGATATTAGAGCTCAACAACTCAAACGAACACGATTTGATCAAGATTTGTGAAAATGCACCATCTTAAGGGACACATCAAGAAATCGATTTATACTATATTGACTTTTTCAACGGTTGGTGAAAATAGAGATTAGTGACCAACACTTGAGTCTTTTTATTTTAATAAAAAAATTAAAAAGTTTGAGAACTTGTTAGATATAAGGAGGATAAATTTAAAAATTCCAAACTTATTAATATAAATGCAAAAATTATTGAATTAAAAGAAGATATTAGAAAAGAGTATTCAAAAATCAAATTTACACAATTAAATTTAAATATATGATCGTTCACCCATTAATTTAAGCTCTTGGATTTACCTTTGCTATAGAGCTTCCAAGCACGAGGCCGAGGAGTAGCTTTGCGGTGCCGAGCAAGACCACGCATCCGCCGCTCCTGCCGCCGAACTTGTACTGCCCAGCAAGGCCACCGGCGCCGTGGCAGGTCGGGACAGCGCCGAACCAGCAGCCGACCAAGTTCATGAGGCCGACGGTGATGGAGAGCGACGTGACGGAGAAAATCTTGCCGGGAAAAAGGTCGAGGGAGAGGTTGCAGACTGCGATGATGGAGTTGAGAATGGAGAGAGGAAGCTGAGGGATTGTGCCCTTTATGAACCCTTTCTTCCATTGGCTGCTGGTGATCTTCACGATGCTCATCGGCGACGGCCCGAATGTAACGTACTTCACCACTTTGGGGCTTCGGATGAAGAGAAAAACGAGGCCAAGGAGGAAGATGATGAAAGCTGATGGAAGTGAAGTTATGATCTTCCTCGCCTTCTCTTTTCCTGATTCTTTTGCTCTTCCATTTTCAACATCTGATTCTTCCCAACAAGATTCAGAATTTTATGTCAGAGAAGTTACCCATCCATAAATTAAAATAATAATAATAATAATAATAAAGAAGAAATAAACAATAAAACTATATATATATATATATATTTGCAAAAGTAAATATATTAAACAAAAACTCTAGATCAAGTTACAACACCTAATAGGGCAACACAAAACAGAAGTAAGAAAAAAAATCAAGCAAACAAATCACATGCGAGATAAATATAATGTATATATATTAATTAGTAATAATTTACAAATCACATGCGAGATAAATATAATGTATATATATTAATTAGTAATAATTTTTCTGTATCCGTTAGAAATTTTGATAGTTTATTATTTTTCTTTTATAATAATTATTTGTTTTTATAATTTTTCTTAGCTCATCAAAATAAGATAAGTTGGTCACAAGACCCCCAAAGTATTTCCATATATATATATAAATATAAAGCACATCTAACTTGTCATTTACTAATATGAATTTAGTTTAATAATAATTGACACCTATTTTGTATTACGAGGTAATTAAGAGTTCGAATTTCCCTATCCTCACTTGTTATACTAACAAAAGGTTATCGTCTTGTATTTAAGAGGTAAGCATTAATTAGTATGGTTCTAAAACTAAACTAAATATTATTTAAAAAGTAAATAATTGAATAGTACTATTTGTTGTTGTATATTTTTAAAGAAAAAATTCAAAGTCAACGAAGGAGTATCCCATTTAAAATAAGAGTACAAATTATTTATTTTAAATGAGAAGATTAAAAAAAAAAAGGAAACTTAATTCTTATTTGGGTTTCTAAAACCTTTCAAATTCGTTTCATTTTTTGCATAATCTTTTAAAATATCTAATTTCAACTTCTAATTTTTGAAATAGAACTGATCCCGTAAATAAAGTCAGTAGAAGCTAGAATTGGGGACTCAAGAAGTAGAAAGAAATTATCAAACAGGTATTTATTTATTGCTTCAAAATGAAATTAAGAAGTCGGTAGAGAAATTAACTAGAATTGGGGCAACTAATTAAGAAGTAAAAAGAAACGAAAAGACAAAAAACATTTGTAAATTGTAAATTGTAATTAATGGGCTCTTTACTTACTTGTTGGTTCTTGTAGATGTTGTTCTTCTTCTCCGGCGCCGTTGACGACGATGACAAAACAAGCACAAACAATGGCCAAAACCAGCCCGTCCAATCCCAACCACTCTCGCCCACCAAGCGACTTCGATTTCGCCATATTCTGATCGTAACGAACATATTTGACCGCCGTGAGCGCAAACGACAGCCCTTGTGCCAGCTGGATTCCCCTGACCACCGGCAACGGAATCCACCTGTAAACCAACCGCATCAGCCCCGTCGCTCCCAGCACAAACAGGATCCCGCCGGTCAAGATTCCGGCCGCCATGATCTCCGCCACGCCGAAGTCGGCATCCGCCAGCGCCGCCGCCACGATCGACTTCATCGGCTGGACCGGCATCGGGACGCCGTAGATCAGGCCGGTCACCACGTTGTAGATCCCGGTGAAAATCAAGGTGGTCCCCAAGTTGAGGTCCTTGGAGAGCGTGAGAGCCAGTACTATGGGAATATACGTCCCTAAGTCGCCCATTGCGCCGTTTATTTCACCCCATTTCGACCGGAATACCAGATTGGCTTTCAGCTTTTCCACGATCCTCCCCGGAATACCGGGTTGAGGCTGGTTTTCTATGGTTTCGAGGGTCGGGGAAGGGCGGTTTTGCGATGCCATGAGAGGCGTGAAGACTGTTTTAGATATTAATGCCACTGATCTCAATTTACAGTGGGGCTCCAAAGAAAGGCATCAGATTCGAATTTAACCATTTATTTTCTCGGGAGACTACAACTTGGACAGTTATTTCCCAAACTTTGTCCCGTTTATTTAATTCAGGAACGAGAATGAAAATTTCGAAATGGATAGGATTTATCTTATGGGTCTTATTTCGAAATGAAAATTTCGAAAGTCTCATACCTTATGGGTCTTATTTTCATTCATTATTACGTGGCTGTGGTTCTATTCTTTTTTTAGAAAAAATAATTATTTTATAATTTTTACTTTTTTCTCTCTCTCTCGTTTATAAATTTTTATGTAATTTATATCAAACCCATGTGATCAGATTTCTATTTAATCTATCAACTATTAATTTTAGGGCAAAATACATTTTTGGTCATGAGATTTGAGATTCGTGTCTACTTAATTAGTTCTTGAGGTTTAAAATAGGTGTCAACTTGGTCCGTGAAGCTTTAAAATAAACATTTTTTGTCCCTGAAGTTTGAGAAATAATTCTAAATGGTCCATGATTTTTTTTACTGTTGATTAACTAATATCATAACGACGTGGCAAATTGTAATTAAATTATTTATTATAGTTGGTGATGTGACAAATTATATTAATTAAATCATATATGTTCAGTATGAATAGCGGACGGCGACAACAAATACGTGGTGGTTGCTGGAAAAGGGTAAGAGAAAGAGAGAGGAAAAGATGAGGAGAGGAGGGAGATATAAATTGTCACATCAGCAACTATAATAAACAATTTAATTGTAATTTGTCACATCATTTTAATATTAGTTAATTAACAGTAAAAAAATAATCATTTGAACTATTTCTCAAACTTCAATGACCAAAAGTGTCCATTTTAAAACTTAAGGGACCAAGTTGACACCTACTTTGAAAATCAAGGATAAAAAAATGTTCATTTTGAAATTTCAGGGATCAATTAGACACCTACCTCAAACCTTAGGGACAAAAAGTGTTTATGTTGAAACTTCAGGGACCAAATAGACACCTACCTTAAACTTCAAGGACCAAAAATGTATTTTACCCTTAATTTTACTTCCTGAATATCAATAAAATTGTTAAAATATAATTTATTGTTATTAAATATTGTAACAAACAGATAGAATAATTAATGATGATTTTGCTGGTAGAAATTATATTAATCATTTTTAGTTGATGTGATTTTATTTTAATTATTTTTTATTTGTTAATATAAAATAAATGGTTAAAATACAAATATTTATTAACAATAAAATAAATTAAAATTGATGAAAAATACACTTTTGGTCCTTAGAGTTAGAATTTAATATCTATTTAATTTAAAATTTGTTCTAAATGTTATCCGAAAGATAATTAACCGTTAGTCAACTAATAGAAAAATGACATGGAAAATTAGTCAACTAGTAAAAAATCTCTCTCCATGTTTGTCTGTTTGTTTATTTTTTTTAAGTATGTGTCAATTTGGTTCAGATTTGAAACGAAAAGGAGAGGAGGAAGCTCTCCCTCTCTCCCTCGTCCCATGTCTAAATCGATGGAGAGAGGTCTCCCTCCCTCCAACGACAGTGATTGGTGTCATGGAGCGGCATAGCCGTCATCAGAGATAAGGAGGAGCTTTCTTCTCCGATGGTAGCATTAGAATGACAGTGGTGCGTGGCGACAACAATGGGTGGCGACGACGATGGGCAACGAAAGTGATGGGCAATGACATGGTGGACGACGATGGTGGTGGCGGTAGCAAGAAGATGAAGAGAAACATGAGTGAAGAAGAGAAATAAAATTATAAAAAAAAAAAGAAGCCACGTCGCTTACCAAAATTTTATAAAAGTTAATATTTTTTACGTCTCATTTAAATATAGCAAATTATAAAAGTTTAGTCATCAAAATGAGCTAGCGAGTATAGCTCAGCGATAATTAGCATGTACCTCGAACCAAGAGGTTGTGAGTTAAATTCCTCACCCCACATGTTGTACTAAAAATAAAAAATAAAAATTCAGTCACGTGTTAATTGTCACATCATTTTTTCGTTAAATTAACTAAAATCATCGAATGATGTTTAAGGACCATTTAGAACAGATTTCCAAGACTGAAATTGTCTACTTTGAAATTTAAGAAACCAAATAGACATCAAATTTACACTTCAAAACCAAAAGTACTCATTTTAAAATTACAAATACCAAATTGATATACCTAGACCAAAAGTATATAATAAATTTTTTAGAGGAAATATATAATATTTTAATTTAATAAATTACTTATACTCACCTGTAATAAAATCATATTTGTCAACTGTACTAATTTTATTTCTTTTTAAATACCAACTTTCCATTAAAAAATTATTGTAATTTTAATTTAGCACCTAGATTTTCTTAAAACGAAATAAATTTTATAGTTTATACCATTGTTTGTTCAAACGTGTTGCAATCATATTCTATTTTTATATTAATTTTTGTTGTATGAAATTTTAAAAGGTAAACCTAAACCAATCAATTTTAATAAATTTTAATAAATATAAAATAAAGTTAAGAAACTCAATATATCACGATAATGTTGAATAATATTCATTTGACTTTTAAGATATAGTTGACTTAATAATGCTTAGTGATATATTACAATAGTGATTGTGGGAAGTACACTTCTGATATGAGAAGCAGAAATTCGAAAATGTACCTACCAACTATACAATGTTAATATAAATATCCAGGTAGATAGAATGAAATAAATGCACTACCAAAAAATAAAAATAAAAAAAGAAACATACCAACTATTTCATAGAGCTACAGAATTTTATATAATTGCTCTAATTTTAGAACAATTTAAAAAGTATTCATTTGCATAGTAACAGTTAATTACAACATTTTTTATTTGTAATAGTTGATGCAAAATTCTGACCTTCTAACTGGACGAAGATCTATGAGAGAGCGATGTATGTGAAGGAAAACCTGTACAAAGAGAAGGTAAACAAACTCTAATGCTCAAATCAGTATGATGTATCGCTTTGAAGATGAACTAATCAGTGGTTCAGTATTGCACATGCACGTACGTATAGTGGAATGAAGTATTTATAGACATAAGGTTGATGGATTCCACTTACCGATCGCTTTCCATCATTACATGATTCTCGATACATTATACGGGATTTAGTTTGTGAGCGGTTACGTGTGATGATGTGATATAGCTCATCTCGAATCAGAAGATTCTCGATGCATTATACGGGATTCAATTGGCAAGCGATTATGGGTGGTGATGTGATATACCCCATCTCGGATTAGAAGATGGTCGAGGTCGAGCTATAAATTAATGTCAAAAGTATTACTTTTCGAAAAATAGGCCTGAAGGTTCGTATCAACCTATAGTCAATTATTTTTATTGGTTCACTTGCACGCTGTTTTTCATCGCCTAATAGAAATTAAAAATTGGGCTATTTTTATTATTTGGTGTTGTCACAATTTATTCTCTGAAAAACTATATTTTCTTTTTTTCTTCTTCATAAAGGGAATACATAACTTTTTTATAGTCCAAATTAATTATTAATATTATACAATATTAACAATACAAAGATATATATATACTAATTAAATTTCCTTAACACATTCACAATATTTATACTTTCTCAATCCTTCAATGTCTTTCTTTAATATTTTGTTCATAAGTATAGCTTAGATGTTTCCTTTTTAAAATCAACTAAAATCTCTACTGATCTTTTTCTCAAAAAAAAAAAAAAAAAAAATCTCTACTGATCTAAGTTTTAAGTATCTTAAAACGATACATATCCAAACTATAATTGCAAGTAACAGTCAAATAATAATTTAATTCAAATTAAGTGAATTAATTTAATTTAAATTAGGTGGGATCACAATTCACGACCTATCTCTAAAAATATGAATATTTCTTTTTAATCTTAATCGAACAAATTCGTACACAAACCGATGTTGTTGCACTTTTTAAGTTTAGGTTCACCTAAGAATAAAAACTTTCAGTACATGCAAATTTTGTATCGATATTGAACACGGATATCTACTACTTTCATTCTAACTGTTATAACTAGTTAATTAAATTTAATAATAATAAAATTTCATATTAGCAACTCTATAGATATATATATTTTAAGAGACAAAAGATTTAGATATGCCATTTTATTCTCTTTTAAGAAATCATTTTTATAAATATAAATCTCCATCCAATTGTGAACATCCAGTGCATTGATTTATAAAATCATAGTCAAACTCTCTCTCTCTCTTACCTTTCAATTTTTCTCTACTTCTCTGGCCAAGTCAAACATTTATTAAATATTTTAAGAGAATGTAATCTATGGCTTTATTTCCGTTTTAATCATTCGTTATTCGTTATATTATTAATATATAGTAGAGAATATAATCTCATTCGATTAAAGTGTGAATATGACTTTTTTTTTAGATTTAAAGGAAGAAGTAGATATTAATTATTGGCGAATATTGACTTTTACAAACTATTTTAATTAAATAATTACATAAAGTACAGATTTGTTTTAATTAATTGGATTATCTAAATGTTGTTGGCTCCCTCCCCAGTCAACATACAATATATGATTCACAGTTAGGCTTCATTGGATTCATTTTTCCAACCATAATATCTTAATTAAGATGTGTTTTTTTTCCAAAAAGAAAGTAAGAACAAAAAAATGAAAAGGCAAGGAATTGGCATCTTTGAATGGTTTCATGAGTGAGGATTGGGTTTGCTTGGTGATATGAAAACAAGAGAGTTGTATGTATATTTTTAAGTGTTTTTTAATTTATGTTTAGCAGTAGATTTGAAAATCGAACCTAAATTTTAAAATAAATTATCCTATGTTTAGTAATATATTTGTAACTAACTATATTTAAGAACTAAATATTTAGTTGAATCTAAAATATTATTAATTTATTTATTGAAATATATGTTATAAATTTTGTATAATTATTATTTTACAGTATTATATAATTTATAATATATTTTTATTTAAAAAATAAAATGATTTTAAAACATGAAATAATACATTTATAAAAGTTTTACATTTTTTTTATTGTAATGTTGCATTTTAAAGTTTCAAATTTAAAATATAAAAATATTATTTATTTTATTTTGTTGATATCAGTGAATGTCCAGCTATCTCATGAGACAATCATTAAACCCTACTACATTTTGTTGCCTAGATAATACGACATTAATTAAAATATAAAAATATTGAAAACATAAAAATGTTGTTTCAAAATTTCCTTCATTTGAATCACAAAATCCAAAAACATTTTTAAAAAATAAATATGTATATTGAGTGAATATGAAATATGTTACTTCAATCTAATACCTCAAGAGGAGATGTGTACTTCAATTAGAATACATGACATATGTTCTCCTCGAAGTCTCTCAATCTCGATCGCTAGTAATTGGATATGTGGAAGAAATGAGAAAAATAATCCATATTGACTACCAAATCGATCCTAAATTATTCGAGATTTTTTATTTTGGATGTTAAAGAATTGCTTATTATATGGGAGGAAAAGCACTAAGATAAGCCTAGAAAATCTATGGACCCTCCTAAGGTCAAAATCCTAAGTTTAAAAGTTCACTCAATTATTATTACGAAGATGTTTGGCTCATGAGTTTAATAGGATGGTAAAGTTTCAATTTGCATATCATAGTTTGTAGATTTATGAGATTTAAAAAAAAATTTAGATAATGATTCGTAAAAGTTCAAACGTTCCTATTTTTTAAAAGATGAGTGATTAATGAAATTTGTTTTCCGGAGGTTTTTATTTTATTTTTTTATTTTTAAGTTGGATTGAGTTCAAACTAAAGCTGATTTGTATTTGAAATAATTTTTTAATGCTCTTTTTCCCCCCTATAAAATAACAACTTTTAAGTATTTTTAGCAATGGCATTGAGAAGAAAATTAGGGGAAAGGGAAACAAGTTTTATTTGATAATTACCTAAAAATAAATAAATTATTAAACTTGACTCTATTATGAAATTAAAGTCCGTATCGCCAGAGGGCCCACGGCCCATAGTGTAATTTGTCATGGTTGACCCAACTAACTGAATTGGACATGTATCGGCCTATGGGCCTACTGTTTTTGTTTTAGAAAAGAAAAAAAATGTAAAAATAATCCATTTACAAAATAACCTTTACTATTAGGCTAATACATTCATCCCAACCTTAAGTTTTTAATCATTTTAAATATTTAGGTTAATATTTTTATTTATACATCATTAAAATTAATAAGGGCATGTTTGGTTAGAAACTCGAATTCTGTTTTTTGTTTTAAGATTCACATAATGAAATGGATCTAGCATGACTCAAAATTTGAAATTTTGAAGATGCAGAATTACATTAAAAATGATAAAAACTTTGATAAATATAAAACTCATTTAATGTTTGTTAAAATTAAAACATGTAAAATATAATGTATTCTAAATTATATAACCTCGTAAAAGAACAATTATATAAAATTCATAAAAAAAATGTTAATAAATTAATTAATATAAGTTTAGATTAAACTAAAAATTTAATTTGCAACTACTCCTAGTTTATAAATATATTATTAAACACACATTGAACAATTTTTTAAATTGCGATTCAATTACCAAATCTGCCACCAAACATACCCTAATATTCTTACACAAAATTAATGTTTAGGAATACTATATGCTCCAAAAATCAGTTTCCTATAGTCCTTAAATGAAGACACAGCTGGATATTTGTTCTTATGTAAGCCAAGTAGGCAAGTTCTCAATGTGATAAAAAGAAACCTTAATCCACAATGAACCCAAAAAATGGAGACAATAACAAAATTAAAAATTTCCCACGATATCGAAAATAGGGAGGACGTCTCTGTTAGAATCCATATAAATGAATTAAATTTACCCAACCCATCAGCTTAAGCTTTTGGGTTGAGTGGTGGTTTATTCATTCTTAAGATGATATTAAAGTGGGTAGTCCTCTGTTCGAACCCCTGCGTTGTTCCTCTTCTTAAACTTTTGGGTTGAGTGGTGGTTTACTCGTTCTTAAGAGTCTCTGATTCTGCCACGCCCCGATGCGAGACGATGCAATGCCATTGCCCTTTATATCCCTACAAGGGGTCACGGTTCGGAAAGAGCATCATCAAAGTTGTATAATATGGAGAACTGAAGTTGCTATTCTATTCAGTCAAAGCTGGTTGGAGTTTCAGGTCCATACATCTTCATCTTTTATTTCTGGCCATAAATCATAAATGAGGCCAGAAAAATTAAAAACTCAAAAAAGGAGCCACAAAAAGCAGGCTCACAGGGCATTCACAGTCAATTTTTATGTAAAAAAAATAAAAAAACCAGAGCAAAAGTAGAAGCTTGTCATCCACCATGACCATCAGAAGTGAAGCAAAGCAAGACGAACACCAACATTTTACAAAAATGATCATCCATGGCTGCCACCAATGGACATAAAAACAGCTCTTTTCAAACAGATGACCAAAAGGGTGTGCGTCTCCTTCGACATGTTCGTCAACTAGGGGCATGGTGATTGGCCATTGGAAACGAGCGCTTATGCAAAGCCTCCAATGCTGATTCCGAAGAGGTCCTCATCGTGGTCAGCATTGGACTTGGGAGAAGTTTCGGAGGTTTTGTCGATGGATTTCTCAAGTTCTTCGTCCATCAATATCTCCTGGGAACGGCAGGTTAGGCTACAGAAGGCTTTCTCCCCCCTGCAACAACGATGAGTTAGTTCTTCGTCAAAATCGTTTAAAAGGCGGAAAGATTTTTCTTGGGTGAACCTGTAAATGTAGATGTCTTTCCCCTCTTCCAGTTTCTTGTGACAGGAGTAGCAGAAGCTTAAGAAGTCGCTTAAGGAATATGAAGTGGAGATATCCAAGCTTTTAACAGGATGGGGCAATCCAATGTCCTTCATTTCATTCTCAGAAGAAGAGCTCAAATAATTAGAGTGACATTCTAAAATGCAGTCACCAAAAATATGAGTAGTTTTCGGGTTCGGACCATGTGAAATTACACATGTATAATCCTCAGACAGCTCAATCTCAGTTGCCGAGAGAGGCCTCTTAAATCCATTGTAACCGGATACACCTAAAGAAACTAAACACGGTTCTGCCAGAGGACATTTTTCTGAATCTCGATGTTCATCAGCCAACCGAGGAGAAGCAAGGCTCTCAGTAGTAGTACTACTACCTAGGCTGTGACCAGTTAAACCAGATGGAAGAGCAAACGACCTATAGGAATCGAAAGAACGAGAATAGTTTTTCCCAAAAGGCTCGGATTCTAACGGGGTTTCTCCAATTTCGAAAATAACATCAGAGTTTCCCTGTTCAATGGGAGATTTGGTCTTCAGTAGGGGAGAAATTGCATAGTTTTTGGGCAAGGATTTAGGTCCCTGGAAAAGATTTGCCCATGATGGGCAATTCACAGTCTTGGCCACACTTCGGGGTCCAAAGAGAACAGTCTTACTATCCGACGATCGAAGAACTTTCCCAAATAGTTTACTATCATCATCTAGAGAATCTATGATGCTTAATCCTACTTTACTAGAATCCCAGTTCTTTCTATGCCCCTCATTGGATGATGATCTAGGAGATCTAAGAGGGTTTCCTAAACCTGAAAACACCCAAAAATCCAGAGGAGAAGTTGGACTTTTAGCTGAATCAGAATCTGAACCTTTAGGAGACAACCCAGTAAACAGGTGACATCTTTTGAAAATAGAGCTACATTTTGGGTGATGGAGCTCAGAACCAGAACAAGGGGCATTCAGCTGATTCATTATGTATTGATCTTTCTGAACTGACCTTGTTCTCTTCCTCAGCATTATTTCGAATCGCCGTTCCGAAAAGCCGACCCCTGCAAAACCATAAGCTTCTATTTCGGTATCAATGTTATTTGGGTTCATTGAAAAATCCAGTATAATTTCAGAAATCCATCAGAATCAGCAGAAACTGAGCAGCATTGGCCAGTGTAAATACAAACATCATTAACATCCGCTAACTGATAAAACACAGTCCACATAATCAGAATCAGCAGAAACTGAGCAGATTGAAGCATTGAACAGCATCAGGAACAAAACGGAAACGCAAAATCAGATCCCGAGAGCAGTAGAAACAGCGTCGTGAAAGCTCTCAAGAACAATCGAAAGCCAAAACTCAAAATGCAGAAACATTCTCAGCGATCAATTTCAAAATCCCCAATATGAAACGAAAGTTCAAACATCGATTGAAATAGAAAAAACCCCGATGAGAAACCCCAACGGTTGAGTCGGAAAATCAATCAAAGGAGAAAAAATGCAAAAGAAGACGGATAACAAAGCCCAAAGTCACCCAATAACGAAACCCTCATTCGCTCGAGCGCATTCCGAAAATATTTGAAAATCAAAAAGGGGGGAACCCAGAAAATCGTCTCGGAAGATTGAGGAACAGAGAAAAACAATCGGAACCCAGATGGGGAAATTTTACCTGAATCTCTCGAGGAGCTCTGAAACGTCAACAATGGCGGATTTCTTCCGGAGAGGAGGGGGGAAATGGGTATGTGGCGAACTGTGAAACTTGTGAGGCACTCTTCGTTCTCTCTCTAGACTGCCTCAAAATCAGTGAAACAGTGAGCTTCTGAGAGACACCTCTTTCAGCTCTCTGAGAAAACCAAAACTTTACCTCTCTACCAATGCAATGCCGTGCAGTACAGTATTTTGGCAGAGAATTATTTCGTACGTATTTTCCTTCATTTTCCTACTTTTAGTACATTTCAATTTTCATTTCCCCACTCTCCATTTTTCTCTCCCATCTTTCCCTTTCCCACTTTCCCTTCTTTTTTCAAACCCAAAAAAAAAAAAAAAAAACCTCTTTTTTCTTCACCATTTCTGAACTTCTGTTTGAACTTGTTTCTCAAATGAATCATGTGAATTCTCTGAGCTTGAATTATGTATGATATGGGTTGTTTGGATCAATCCAAATAATTCAATCCCAGATTTTTTTTTCTTTTTTAGTTTTTCAAGGAAGTTCTTTGGATTTGGCTGTCTTAATTGTGTTTTGATTTTGAAACTCTCTTCATTCAACATCCTCCCTTTCCTGCGGTTTAGTAGATTTTGTAGATAAAATCTAGGGTTCTATAATTTGCCAAATCTCAATGGTGTTAGTTCACTTAAATGTTGAACAGGAATGTTGTGTCGAATCATTTTAGATTCATTTGCAAAAATTATATATTTGTATATTTCTAAAAATTGTTAAGAAAATAGAGTAAATGTAATTACTTTAGGAATACATGTTTGAAAAATGAACTTTATGATTGAGATTTATAAATTAAAAATGATTTATTTGGGCTTCGCAACATTATCTAACCATTTTAACATTTAATCCTTCTTAAAAGTCCCACATTTCCATACACGGATTTTCACGATCTTTTATCCTAATTCAAATACTTCATAAAAATCTCTTAATAGATCATCCAACTTATTACTCTAAACAATTTTGAATCATCGAAAAGAAATATTCGCCTTATTAGTTATTATCAATTATTTTAAAATTTTCTTAATCATATTGGTACGATGTCAAATATGGTATCGATTCATTTATGTAATTTTCCGTAACACTAATTATGGAAGTTGTAAATTTAAGTATACAAAAATTAATAATTTTTTTTTCAATAACTTCAAAGCATATCTCAAAAAAAAACTAATAAAAATAATAAAATAACTTCAAAGCAAAAATAGTGTCATTTTCTCTCTGACCAAAAAAACAATTTCCCAAAAGAATCCTCGACTCTTTTAAACTTAAATTTCAAACCTGACTACCTTGAAATTAATTTGTTGACCAAATATATGTTTTAAATGACCTTGGAAAATAGAGTTTTAACTAAATCGCTTTTTTTTTCTTCATAATTTCTCAAATATTAATTAGGTATTTTATCTAAATATATTTCAATTAGTATTTTCATGGTTTAAATCTTAATTACTTAAAGATACTTATTCTGTCATAGAAAATTTTGTCTCAAAACATAGTCTAAATACATTCTAGCCTATATGTTCTAATAAGTTTTAAAAAATAGTTTTTCTCAAAAAAAAAAAAAGTAAAAAAAATTGAGTTCTAATAAGTCTAAATACATTCTAGGGAAAAGAACTACAGTTTATCCCCCAACTCTTCTTTATATTATTCTTATATATTTAGTCGTATATTAAAAGGTGTAATACTTAACCCATAATATTAAAAATATATCATACTACAACTACATTATATCATATAATAGAGCTACACTACATTTAAGTAGAGTATAAATTTCATTCGAGGCACAAATACCCATTTCTCGACTTGATTTCATGTACGAGTTGCCTCTCAGTAAAATTTTAGATGAGGATTTGAGATTTTTTATTTATTTTATTGAGTTCACGTTAGAACGACCTCAAGTTTTATCCATGGAGCGCACCTCAAATTCAATCCAGCCTTATATTTTTCAATAACTAAACAATTACATATATAAATATATACCAAAACTTTATAAAATAACAGAATAAAGTTTTTATTTTTAATTTAATTCACATAATGGGAAAATGGAGGGGTATTTAGGGGAAAAAGTGTTGGTTGGTTCAGGCGTTCAGCATCTTCAATGTCGCTTTTAAAGGGTGTGTCATTAGAAAACGACGAAGCTGACGGCGACCAAAGATCTTTGTTACTAACCGACAAACGTTCACGGCCTTTAACCATGGTTACCAACTTACCACTTCACCTTACCAGAGTTAAAAAACTTCCGATAAATGGGCGCCGATCCTCTACGCCCGCTGCTATGCTACGCTCGGTCGGTTTATATGAAATTATCATTCTCTTGAATTCTTTTCATATACTACATTTACCTATATTTATAATATCCATTTGTTCAGTTTTGAGGTCATGTCAATTTAATAATTTGTTTTATTTAATTGATGTTTGTGTTTATTCTTAGCTAGTACATGAATGTTCGATTTTTAGAAGTTGAGTCTGATTTAGTAAGAATTTTCAACCTAATTAATTTTAGGAAAATAGATAAGTTAGAGGCGGGATGTTATTAAAAGAAATACTTAACCTTGCATTCCAGCCATGAAGTTGCTTATTCAGTTTATGCAAGAGATCTACAAATTGAACCATACATAAGTTTGTGAGGCTATAGCAGTAGAACACGACGTGGAAGAGTGTTAAATAGAAAAAATTCCTAAAGCTGTTTGATAAGAATGTATGCGGGAGAGTCTTTCGTTATTTTAACCTAAGGAGATTTTCTATTTATGCCTTATTTCCTAAGAAAAAACACGATTATTTTATTTTTTATATGAAGAGGAATATTATAATAGATGACATAGTTTAAAATTATGATAAGAAGATACCAACCATTTTAATTTTAGTGGGGATAAACATTACTTAGAAATCGTATCATTTTCAAAAAATTATTGAATAACACCTCAATCATATGGAATCCTAGTAAATTATTGAAATATAAACATCAAATATTATATTGGATTTCTTGTCTGGTTAAAGATGTATGCAAATCATTATTTTGTACCGATACTTTTTTCATTATTAAATGTTGCATAGATAATAAAATAAAAATAATATTTATTATAAATTTAGAATATATAAGTAATCTATCTCTGCTAAGTTTTAATTTATCTAAACAAACATCTCTATTTAGGTTAATTTCTTTATCTTTAATAGTAATCGGCATAAAATATTTGTAATATTTAAATACTTTTCTATTCATATTTCCAACAAAATATTAATATAAGTATATAATTAGATAAAATAAATTAACGCGTGTAACACAGTTGCTATTTTATTTTGTCCAAAAATCTTAATATATTTATTTGTTTATTTATCTATTTGTCCAAAAGGGAGGGTAGGTGATTGGAGTGAATGAGAATCCAGAGATTCGTCCTTTCGCGGCACCAAACGGCCGCACATAAACGGAACTTTTAAACGCCGTCTATCAACCGTCACAACCCAAGCATACGTAATACCACAAATAAATTCATCCACTATTTTATTTGTGAGGAAAATTAATAATTTAGTGGGGTATCGATTTTTATTATAAATCTTCAAATTTTATTTTTTAGGTAAAACAAATTAAGTGGAGGGATCCGAACTCATAATCTATTGATTAGAGATAAATGGCAATTACTGCTATAAACTCATATTGGTTCATAAAATTAATCTTAGATTTAGACAAATTTGGCAATCTATACATTAAGTTCAAATTCAAGTATGTTCGCCAACTAATTTTAATTGGAAAAAAAAAATCAACATATCAGTTTTGGAAGGGTCTCTTTGGTTGGAAACTCGGATTCAGTTGTTTGTTTTTAGATTTACGAGCAATTCATTTTTTAAAACTGTTTTTGAATTTTGTTATCCAAATGGTAGAAATTCTGAAAACGACTTTTTTTATCTTTTAGTGTTTTCAGATTTATAATTTAAAAATTTTAAGACGCAGAATTACATTAAAAATGATCTAATCTTTGATAAAAATATTTCTTCATATTATAAATTCATTTTGTAAAATTAAAATACGTAAAATGTAATGTATTCTAAATTATATAACGTTGTAAAATAATAATTATACAAAATTTATAAAAAAATGTTAATAAATTAATTAATATAACTTTAGATTAAACTAAATATTTAGTTTGTAACTATTATAGTTTACAAATATACAACTAAACACGTATATACCAATTTTTAAAAATACAAACTCTGATTTTCATTGAATCCCTTGTTTTCTGATTACAACGAAACATACTCTCATTTACTTTCCTTAAAATTCAAGTGTTAGCACAAAACTGAACTCGAACGTAAAATAAATCACCGAAAAGAAAAACTTCACATATTTAAGGAAAAATCTAATCAATAGTATCATATTTTTTAAAGTCTCATCAATGACCTATATTTTAACGTTCGTGAAATACATTTTTTTTTTCTAATTTTTGGTTGTGTACTAAAAATTGTTGGGATCCTTCGTTTGGAAGTAAAATCGTATAAATTAGTGGAATTCTGATCTCAACTTTCCACTTTAGCCCTCCATCGACCACTTTTTTTTTTTTTTTTTTTTCCTTTCCTTTTTCTGGGTAAGTATTTAGCTATCAGGAAGGGGAAAAAAAAAAGTTTTCTCGAAGAAGTTTTGTTTGATCCAAAATCTCAATATTGCAACCACATACATAACCAAATAACCAAAAGGCCAAAAAATTATTTATTGTTATGGTTTTCAATTTTTTTTTATATAAACATAAGTATTCGATAATTTTTTTTTAAATGTGTAAAAATTTTGAAATCAACAAAATTAAACTTATTTGTTGTTGTTTCTAGTTTCTTTTTTTTTTTCCTTTCTAAAACACAAATAAAAATACTGTTTTATAATTCATAATCTACCAAATGCATAATAAATATAACATCAAAATTTTAATATTTAATGTAAAAGTAAAATTTCATATAAAAGGTAAGAACAAGAAATGATTGTCATGTTGGGTTTGTGCTTAGGTGACGAGAAAGACATGTGCCCTATCAAGTCGGGGTAGATTGATAGGAAGAGTGGGATATCTTTGATCTAATGATGGTACTTGGTAACAATTTTCTTATCAAAATTAAGTGTATGTTTATCCTTTAACTATTTAGTTTTTATAATTTATAAACATATTTGATCACTTCAACATTAATCTACATATATAAGAAACTTTTAAAAAAGATTTATTCGTCAAATTATTATTGTTAATTAATTAAACAGACTGAACATATTTTTATTAAAATAAAATAAAACTCTATTCTCTACTACTACTATGATAACAAAAAAGTCCTCGAATTATTATTGTTAATTAATTAAACAGACTGAACATATTTTAATTAAAATAAACTAACATTCAGTTCTCTATTATTGTTATTATATTAAAAGAATTAAAAAAATAGTCGTCAACAGCAGGGTTCGAACCTGCGCGGGCATAGCCCAACAGATTTCAAGTCTGTCTCCTTAACCACTCGGACATATCGACTTTGTGGAAAGAAAATCGAAAACTCGTACATTTTATAATTTAAGGACTAAATCGATACCCAGCCAAATCCAATGGACTAAAAAACGTAACGAATTCGAAAGTATTCATTCATGATGTCCAATAAAGTCTCACCTGAGCAGAGATGGCAGTTTCCTGTAGACTTAAAATAAATAAGCATATAATCACATCATAATCAATCTAATAAAATACCCACAAGTGCCAGAATCAGCAGTCTCTCACTTCAAACAAGTTAGATCTCTCCTTCAATAGATTTAAGAATAAATTTAGAGAACACAGGAAGAAACTGGGAAGTCCCTGCAAGAGGTTCAATCAATCAATCTCAATCACTCATGTAAAATCAATTGCAAATGGATAATTGGTATCCAACTATTCTTTAGAACTCGAGGACACAATAGTACAACCTATAGAACAGATCTTGTTCAAATAAGATCGTTCATATCCAACCATTCTTGAGCAAAACTTATATTGGTATTAACTTCTAACCACCACGGTAGACCTAGAAGCGTTAAAATTGAATCAATTCCAGCTGAACATCATCACAGTAGTGACCAAATAATCAGGAAATGTAGGTTCAACCTATTATCTGATTTTAACTCGCCCCATCAGACAGCTGATTTAGTACATAACCTCAAAATAGTTTTTTTTTTTTTTTGGAGAAGAAACAATTTCATTGATGATATGAAAATAGATAAAAAAAAAGAGGGAGGGCCCGTGAAGGGATCACCTTCACAACCAAGAGATAACCAAAAGAACTAAGAAGGGGGTGTTCCTTGTCTTGGAAGGTCCTATAGTTTCGTTCCATCCAAAGTATAGCTCCAACAATATGCAACCAAAAGCAGTTTTTTCTTTTTTGCGAAGGGATGGCCTGTGAGGGTGAAGGCCAACAGTGAGGGCATAACCGAAGGGAGAGCTACTGACCAGTCAAAGAGAGTGACGATTTTGCTCCACAAGCTGTTGGCGAAATCACAAGAGACAAACAAATAGCCTCAAAACAGTGAAACTCGCCTTCTGGAAAGTTAAACACTTTTTATTCTACACGACACTTATTAAACACAAATTCGACTGTCCATAAACTAAACTTGTAATTTAATCTTAATAAAACAAAACTCGAACACCTACCCTAACCTAATGGTGACAGAATGTCTAAAATAAAACAAACAGGTTTACTAAGATCACATGGGATTTAAACTAACTATTTGCTAAGAGAAGAAAAGATTCTAGTTATATTTCTACCTAATCACTTTCAACTCATTTCTTTATCCAATTAAAGTAAGGAAGATTGTACTCTCACTGTGAGCCAATTATTTTTTCTTTGCACAAATGGCTACGGCTTATGCAAAGAGTCATAAACTCATTCCAATGCGCACGAGGCAATGCTGAGAAAAATCAAATTCTAAAACTCCATGTTCTTGCACCAGAAGAATGAAAATCTCTTATAACTTTATTAATCAACACATTCAGATTTGATCAGAGATTCAGACTCAGGCGAATCAAATCGCAATTACTCATACAATTTCTATCCAACTCTGTTTTCCAGAGTTCATTTAAAAATTTTATACACTTCCCAGACAGATCTAGGAGTTGAAACAAACCTCTCATGGTGTCACCCTGTAATCATGGTTCCGGCTCCATTGTCGGTCATGATCTCCAGCAGCAAGGAATGCGGCAGCCTCCCGTCGATGATACTTGCCGTCCTCACCCCCTGAGCCAACGATCGGACACAGCAACTCACCTTCGGAATCATACCTCCGCCGATTCTTCCCTCCTCCATCATCTTCTTCACCCCTTTAATATCTATCTGCTTCACCAAGCTTTTAGGGTCGTCTCGGTCTTCCAGAATCCCGGCCACATCGGTCAGCAAGATCAATTTCTCAGCCCCCAGCGCCGCTGCTAATTCTCCGGCGACTGTGTCCGCGTTGATGTTGTACATCTGCCCGGACTCGTCCGCCGCCACCGAAGAGACCACTGGAATGTGGCCTTTGTCCAGAAGTGCCTGAAGTACCGTAGGGTCCACGCGGGCTACTTCGCCGACGAACCCTAATTGTGCCGCATTAGGGGCTGGCCGGGCGGTTAGTAGCCGCCCGTCCACACCACAGAGCCCAGCGGCCGATGCCCCAGCCTTATTGATCAACGAAACCAGATTCTTGTTCACATCGCCGACCAATACCATAGACACTATTTTCATGGTGTCGGCGTCGGTCACCCGCAGTCCGTCGCGGAAAACCACCTCGATGTTGAGCCGTTTAAGCCAGTTGTTAATTTCCGGCCCACCGCCATGAACCAAGATCGGACGAAGTCCAACGCAGGACAGAAGAACGAGATCGTTAACAACCGAGGCCTGTAGCGACCGAGATTTCATGGCGGCGCCTCCGTACTTGACGACGATTGTCTTACCTCGAAATTTCTGGATAAAAGGCAGGGATTCCGATAGAACATCGACTCGGAACTGCCCCGGAGTAACAGAATCAACAACAGGCTCCAGTTGCTGTGTCGCCGAGCATCTGATCGACAGCGACGAAGAAGACGACGCCAATTTGCGCAAACGCAAAGCGGGCGAGAAAACCGATGAACTGGAAATGGAAGGATTAATCGAGGTTTTGGAGGAAAATAGGTTCGAGGCGGATGGACTGAGCAAGCTTTCGAGCGTCGGCATTTTCCCGGCCGGCGACGGAGATCGGAGGGAGGCGGCGATTTGAAGCAGGGGATTGGAAAGGGCAACTAGGGCTTTAGAGCAAGAGCAGCCCAGTAAGGAAACAGATAACTCAGTTTATAAGAATTTCTTTTTCTGATTTGATTAATACAATTTGAGGTTTTGAAAAGGACAACAATAATATGAAATTGAAGAACAATTATTTAGTGTTTTTCCCCTTTTTTTTCTCCGACAATATGCACAATTATTTGGTTATTTCGTCACATACCAATTCGTCATTTACCGCAACACTTTTAAATAATTAATTTTAATCATAGCTATTACTCATGAGTGCTCATTTTTTTTTTTTGTTTTTTCTCTCTTTCTTTTCAATGAATCGAGATTTGAACTAGTTAAACTAAGTTGAGATTGATTAGAATAAAATCATTTAAAAATTGAAATTGAATTTTTAACTGATCGGAGGAAGGTGTCAATTTGAAGCGACAATGTAGAGCGATTTGTTGGGTGGTGGGTAGTATGAGTCATTTCTTCAAAAGCAAAAGAGAGAGAGTGATAGAAGGGTTGGGTTGTGGTGTGGGTGTGAATCGTGAGAGGGGCCTGAAGGCGACATATGTTTTAAAGGTAAAGAATGTTAGAATAGGTTAAAAGCAAACGGAGTTAAACCGAATAATTATAGGGTTGGTTCAAATTTTATATATGCGATTTGAATAGGTTTTTATATGACATATTATATGWTTTTTTTCCTCTTATACAATTCATTGAAGAGCATAGTTGACATGTTTCCTCTATAGCTTTGAGTTGATCTCCTATAGTTTTGATTGTTAAGGCCGGCTTAATAGTTATTTTGTTTTGATTTCCATTCTTCAAATTAAATTTGTATACTATGTTTACTTTCTTTATATATTTTGCATCTAATGAAAATCTAAGCGATTTTTTTTTAAAACACTTTTTAAATTTAAATTAAAATTTGAAAAAAAAAGCAAGTTTTGTTCTTAAATTTTAGTAAAAAATTCAAAATGTGTTTCAAGAAATAGCAAATTAGCATAATTTTTAAAAAAGGGAAAAGTAAAAACAAACTCAATATCAAACAAAGCTTTCCGCATTATCAATTTTGTTATTAATAAAAATCGTTTCTAAGAAATAATAAAACATATTAAAGAGCTTCAGAAAAGATCATCCTCAAATGCTGGTTAAAATGGAAATTAATGGTCAAACTAAAATTTGAAACCATTTACAGAAAACAATTCAACACAACACTGAATGAATCAAAATGCAGCTTCATGGCCCTAAGGAAAATTTCCTAATAAGCATCACTATATATATCATGCCTTCTGTCTGTTTTTCTTATGCAGCTTCCTCGAGGTGATGTATTTCTTGTCACTTTTCAGAAGAAGAATCATATTTTATCATTGGGCTTTCTTTTCCTATCTTTGTTATGACATAATCTGGACTATTTTGAAAGCCCTATTAGCATTTTGTAGTCATCATCATTCCGTTCTTCCATTATTGCATGCCTTTTCCAGTTCGAGAGCAATGTTTTCATCTGCTCCTCCTTTCTAGCAGCAATTTGGTGGCTCCTGCAGCAGCAGCAGCTTGATCCAATGCCTTTCGAGCCTCCTTCAACTTCTCGGAAACCTTGGTCCATCGGATTGTCTTCCAGTATCACAAGCTTGACTTCCATCTCGCGCTTTCGATCGTGTTCCAGGATATACATCTCTGTTAGGTTTTACGGAAATGCCGGCGGTGCCTTCGCCTTCTTCGAATCCTCTCCCGCTTTCACCAACCTTTCCCGTCTTCGGCCTCACGAAGAACTTGTTCGGCGTCTCTAACCCTGTACCGTTATACATCGTCTCTGTTGAAAGCACTCAAAATTGTAGAGGGAAGTTTGATTTCAGGAGGAGAAAACTTTTTGTTGTAATTGGAATAATGATGGATGGCTTTTCTATTTATAAAGATAATTTTATCCTCTCTCGAGGAGGAAATTATCTAAATCCATAGCCAATTAGGAAATATTGGAAAGAAAATAAATTAAATAAAAAAATTTCCTAATTAATTTAGGATTACATTATATTTTCTAATTGAATTATATCTAAAACCCTAATAATTGTGCATGAATTATTATTTTTGAACATCTTGATCTATGCCAAATTGTTAAATTATAATTAAATTCAAATATTTAAACATATTAGATTAATAAAATAAAAAATAAAAATATAAAATAGGAGTGCCTTTTAAATTTATTTACCTTCGGGTTTGGTTTGAACTTTTGGGTTTTTATCATAAATAAAAAAAATCAACTTTCTAACAAATAGAGCAAAGTTCAAGTTTTCATTTAGCAGTTTGAACCGATTCGATTCAATTTGATGGGTTCATTACCTTTAAAAAAATTCCTTTTGTCTATAAAGATAACTAGATTTTAAAATCAAAAGACTTGGATCAAATAACTAAAAAAATAATTTCGAATGGTATGAATAATCATGGGAAAAAAACATAAAACCAGCGAAATAATGATTTTACAAAAGTCAACCAGTGCATTTTAACGTTAAACTTTAGATTCAACTTGAATAAATAACAGAGCCAAAAGAAAAGGAAAAAATCACATAAATTCAAGAGCCACATAAATACTATAACGTTTAAAAAACTTAAAAGCAAGAAACTAAAATAAGTAAAAAGAATTTTCAAACAAAAATAAAATTCCTAAACTGAGCTAAAAAAAACATTCACATGAAAATAATCGAACACCAACAAAAACACAAAAATACTTGGAGCTCGCCACAAATCTTTTTTGAAAATGTAAATTTAACTAATTGACTTATACCACTCATTCAAGTTTTGCATATTTGATGAAAAGTAAAGTTGTTAAAATTTCCCAACAAACAAAATCATGGAGAGAAAACTGACTTTTATTTGCAAGTATAATAATAAATCAACTCCATGGTTTTTACCTCAATAATAACTAACTGTAGAGTTTAAATTATTTCTCTTCAGAGTTTCAAATTCTCACGCTCATTGTACTAAATAATAATAATAAATCACTACAATAATGACAAATTTAATTCCTAGACTTTGATGGTCTATAGGACAAGAGCGTCGCTTCATTTCAAATTTAATTCAGCTCTTTTTTCTTGAATTGAATCAACTATGAGTCAAGATGGTGTTGCAGTGGATCTTGCAAGACAGACTTAATCATAATAAACAAGCAATACCTTGATGGATAGCCAAAGAGATACAAGATCAGATAGAAACACGAATAAGGGTGTGTTTGGAATGTATTTTAAAGTGTTCGTGCACGAACAAGGGTGTGTTTGGAATGTATTTTTAAGTGTTCGGACTAAAGAGTAGGGTTAAGATTTTAGAGCATAGTAAAAAGTACTTTTGACGGATTAAAAATGCTTTCTCCTTTCATTTTTTCTCCATGAAAGCACATTTCCTTTTAAAAAATAATAATAACAAAAATAAAAGTGCTTTGATAGAATCAGGCCAAATTTTCATGTGGAGTAAATCCTAAACACGTGTTTCATTCTCCATATGATGAATCAATAAGCTGTGCTTATAAATACTTTTTAACTGCAGGTTCAGAAATTATCTCATGTGCATGAGTGATCTCATTGAAAAAGTTACCTTTTACTACGAAGTTGCTCTTTCTAGCATTCCCATTTGAAATTTCCGGAGGTATTCTCTTGACCTTATGTCAGCCTGAATCATATAGAAAACAAACATGGCATCTCACATCAACTCTCAGCCTAATGCAAGATATAACACAAATAGTATGTAGAAAGATACAAATTAAAAATAAGCATTGGATATTCAGTTCACGGAAGAAAGTTGGACTTCCCACAAAAACAAGAAAGAAATGTTATAATCTCTAATGAAACAAGACACTTCCTTTCCATTACCATACAAAACGTGCAGAAAGGGATGGGCTACTTTCAGTGCTAAGGATTTAAAAGCTATCCATGTAGAATATATTATTAGACTAGTAAATGACTTTTCTAACCATCATTTATAAGACTTTATCAGCAAAAGTCCAATGGATATGAAATAATTACCATGGAAATGTTCTGAGCAAAATTATGTTCTACCTGTCGTATAGGTTCTGGTACGCGATGCTTGCATGTGATTTTAACAATTTTGATGGCAGTATCGAGTGAAACACGATGACCAATTGAAACATAGATGGGCTTCGATGAATCAACTGTAGATCTCATAGCCTGAAAAAAAGAGGAAAAGGTTAACCAATGTTCCTAAACAAAAGCTGTACTTTAATGTATGGTAACATCTGAAAAACCACTAATCCTGTCTCGTTGGCTCCAGAACTCAACCAAATTAAATTACCATAAAAAAAATATTATAAATAGTTTACCACACCCCAAATGCATCCAGAGACACCCCTCAAAGTTATTATAGAATCAGTATCTTTTCCTTTGGATTGAATAATTTGCCTCACACTGGACTGGGTAAGACCATCAACATGATGCAGCTGAAATTCACATTACATGATACATCAGAATAAGAACTTAAAAACAAGACAAAATAGCAACAGAATAAGCATTCAGTAACAGTTTTTAAAACCTAGGCCTAGCAATACTTGACAAGGTTAAACATTCTAATAGTAACTAGAGAAATATATTGATAATGAAAGAAATATAAAAATATAATTACTAAGAAATTCGAGGTACTTGGACTCTCCCTTCTCTAGAGTATTCTTACTCAAACATTCAGCCTAAACCACACTAAACGATTGTCTGCCTCAATCCTTTTCCACTCACTCTATACTTATATCCTAATAGCATTCTTATCACATTCAAATCAATGCCAAATGATATGAAATCAAAACTCACATTCTTGCCAATTCCAATGGTAGGCAGATTAGCTAGAACGCCAAGATGACTGGCCAGTCCAAAACCTGCACGTTCCTCCCATGGAATAGTCAATGTTTCAAGATAACATATTATGTTGATATTGCTACAGATAATTGATCAACGTTCAAGTTATGAACTAGCTGAAACAGCATCCCAACACCTTTATTTATTTATTTATTTTTACTACAGTGGAATCCTACCAATAATTCACAAAGAATTGGAAAAAAAAAACAAAAAATACCTCGAGGATGAAGTATTCCATTTCCATCAACCATCAATAACTGCTAAAAGAATCAGTCATGTCAAATGCAAAAAGGCATAGAGGAGACTGATTATTACAAAGCATAGAATGATAAGTGCATAGGCAATATGTTGGGATCAAAATTATAAACTATCTATTCTAAAATTTTCTGTTCAGGAGAAAGAAAAGTATGGGATGCTGTTACATAAATGCATATAAAAAAATGACGACTTCCACAAAAAAGAAGCATCTCCCACATGATTTCAGCATAACATGCGAAGAAACAGAAATTGGTATAGCAAGAACATATAACTTTTGACAGGCACAACTAAACTCAGCACAGGTACTCATGCACTCACCTGTGGGTACAAATGAATAGCTCTCTTTTTCATCCTCTCCAAAAGCTCCAAAAGAACTGGGGCCTGAAAAAGATTCCAAATAAAGTGCCAACAAATATGATCATTAGCATTCATGGGAACACAGCAATCCTATCTGTATATGTAAACAAATTAATGGTAGAAAAGATAGTCTGAAAACAAGCAAATGAATATGGAATGTACTTGAAATGAACAAAATAAAGGAAAAGAAACCTCTCTAAATGCTAAGAAGCCAGGAACATAAGGCACTTGGACGGTGACAAGAGAGAAGTCATCATAGACAAGTTGAAGAGTTTTGAGGTCCAATACCACGAGCGTACCACACGCGACTGATGAATCTTCCTTTAAGAAGCTTATATCAACGCCGCCGACGAACTTCAACTCGTTCCCTTCCCCTTCCGCCTCTGTAATTTTCCATGTGAACTCGTCCTCTTTGATCAGTTTCTTCTTCAGCAAATCCTGTGCCCTGAGAAACATAGACAAATTTTAGGGCGATTTCAAATGTAAGATTCTGTAGAAAGAGAAATTTGTCCAATTACAGATTACTCTATCCAATTCTGTGTTTCAACCGATGATCTTGTTGACGCCTCGGAATACGGCGTCTCTTGTTTCTCTTCTTCAGACATCTTCTAAGCCTCAAAATTCAGCGAGCAATCCGATTAGTACTCGGTGGCCGAAAGGAATCGAACCGATCTAAATAACCGAATTGAACCGAGTCGGTCGAGTCGGTTCGGTTCGGTTTGCTTTTACACATTCTGGCGTTCTTAACCTTTAAAACCTATATGCGCCGCCCCCCAGGCCAACCTCTCGACTCACGACCCACGCAACAACCCACCCCCATCTCTCTGTGAAGTGTGAGATTCCGATCTATCCGGAAGCGGCGAGTGACCCTCTCCAGCGGCGGCGACGATCACGGCCGGCGACCACGACTCTTGGACGGCCAGACTCTCTCTCTTTCTCTTTCGCTGTAGAAGAAACGACCCACGATAGCTTTTTCTCGGAGTTCATCAGAACCAGAAGGTGTGGACGAACGAGAATCCCTAAAAGCAGCTGGTAATCTTAATTTCGAATTTTGTTTTTGGATCTGTATGATGTCTTAATATCGTTTATTGATCTTGATATTGATTAGTTTTTATCATCTCGAATGAATGGCCAAGATTTTGAAAGAAACTTCAGGAACTCTGCTTCCGATTTGATTTATTTTCCTCTCGATAGAATGATTTAATTTCGTATTTGAAATAGATTTTGACAAGGTTGAATTGTTTTAGGCAGAAATTGTTGGTGAAGAAGAGAGATGTATAACGGTATTGGGTTACAGACGCCAAGAGGGTCTGGTACAAATGGTTACATTCAGACCAACAAGTTCTTTGTGAGGCCGAAGACCGGAAAGGTTGCTGAAAGCACCAGAGGATTCGAAGAAGACCAAGGTACTGCAGGTGTTTCCAAAAAACCTAACAAGGATATCCTTGAACATGATCGCAAGCGTCAGATTGAACTCAAGCTCGTCATACTCGAGGACAAGCTCATCGACCAAGGTTATACAGATGAGGAGGTTTCTGAAAAGTTGAAGGAGGCTCGAAAAACATTGGAAGCTGCATCAGATCAGGAAGAAAAAGGTGGACCTTCGGCCATAGTACTTTTAGATAAGAGGTATGAGCCGCACGCACTTGTTTTCGAATTTGGTAGTTTTATGACATGGGTCACGTAAAAGCAAGATATGGGGGGCATCCTCTAATGAAGACTCCTGGTATTCGGGGAGTTCCTTTTTCTGCCTAGTGCTGTTTTCTTATTTAGTGTACATGATGATGGTTATATAACATGGTGTTTTTCTTTATTGAATAGGATCTCAGATACGCAGACCCACCAAATTGCTGCGAGAAAGGAGGAGCAGATGAAAACATTGAGAGCTGCTCTTGGGTTGGGCTCATTGGATGATAGTGAGCAACTTAAAGAAGGGATTTCTGATCCATTAGAAAATAGCAGAGAAGGTGAAAATTCTGATATTAAGCGTCGTGAGAAGTCTGAACATGCTTTCTTGGATAGAGAATTGAACTGGAAAAAGCATGCAAAGGAAGCACACAATGATGATAAGGATAAAAAAATAAGGGTTTCAAAGGAGTCCAAAGGTCATAAGAAAGATAGGAAAAGAAGGCCCAAGGATGATTCTTCTGATACTGATTCTGGTGGAGAACATAAGGGAACCAAGAAGAACTTGAGAGATAATCGAAGAGACGATTCTGAAAGTGACATTGACAGCGATGTTGACAAGAAATACATCACCTCACGGAGGTATAAGAAAAACAGGAGGCATGATAGTGATGATTCTTCTGATACTGATTCTGGCGGAGAGTATAAGAAAGCCAAGAAGAACTTGAGAGATAATAGAAGAGATGATCCTGAAAGTGACCCTGACAGCGATGTTGATAAGAAATACATCACCTCAAGGAAGCATAAGAAAAACAGAAGGCATGATAGTGATGATTCTTCTACTGATTCTGGTAGAGACCATAAAGGAACCAAGAAAAACTTGAGAGAATATCAAAGAGATGATCATGAAAGTGATCCTGACAGTGATGTTGACAAGAAATACTTCACCTCAAAGAAGCAGGGGAAAAGCAAAAGACATGATAGTGATGATTCTGATTCAGTTACAGATGATGATGATTTCGGGAAGGGCAGACATAAGAAAGGATCTGGTAGACCTAAAAGTCAAAAGGTGAAGAAGAAGCTAGGAAGCCGGAAACAGGAGTCGACTGATGAATCCAATTCTGACGTTGGGACTGATGATAAAGGCAGGCTATCGAGGCACAAGAACCATCAGGGTAAAAGACGCAGGGCAGATAGTGATAGCTCTGACCATGACGGTTCTGATTCAGATGTAGGTCGCAACAAGAGTAAGCATAGGTATCATAGCAGAAGTGTGGGGAAGGACAAGGTAGATAGTGAATTTGATACCGAAAAGTCAAGAAAGCATCCTAAAGAAGATGTTGGGAGACACAGGCATGATACCGATGACAAAGAAAGTGGTGATTTTAGCCATAGCAGTGATGAAAAAGTGGAGAGGCGCAAAAGTAAGAGGTATGATACTGATGATGAATCTAATGGAGGAGGTGAACGTTTTGATAGGAAAAGTGGTAAGATAGCCACAAAGGGGAAAATAGCCGCTAAAAAGCAATATGATGACAGTGATAGTTCTGATGATAGTCGTGCAGTTGATAGAAAAGGCCGTAATAAGCATGAGAGAGCTAAGAAACATACGATAGGTGATGGTTCTGGTCTAGAGAAGGGATTCAAATCAAGTGGTGGAGCTCGTGAAGGAGGAAAAGGGAATTTAAATCATGCAGATGGTTTGGATGAGCCGGTGACTGCAGATGATAACAATTCGTACAAGTCTAGGAAAGATGCTATCGATGAGTTCAACCATGCAAATCAACATACAATGAAAAGCAAGAGAAAGTTTGATGAGGGTGGTGAAAATGAGCAGCGAGAAGCAAAATCTAGAAACCGAAATTCTACAAGAGAGTTGGGTTTCTATGGAGACCTCAAGAAGGATTCCAAAATTGATTCTGGATCAAACAGTAGAGCAGGCAATAATAGGTATGATGAGATGAGGGATGGATGGCACAGGGAGGACCCAAAAGTTGATTCCGAATCAAATACTAGAGCACGCTATAGTAGTATGCATGATGAGGATGACCGCAGCAAGTTGGATCGAACAGGAAGCAAATATAATGAAGAAACAGAGCATGGAAGTAGACATTATCGTAAGGCTAATGAGTCTCACCGTCACGGTAGTGCCAGTCCAGATATTGAAGAGGGAAAAAGGCATATCAGATATGAGGAGCATAGAGGGAGAAAGCATGAAAGAGATGAGGATCTAAAATCCAGCAGGGAAGTTGAACGGGGAGAGTATCAACCAAGCAGCAAGCTGGGAAGATCTGATAAAGATTATGAAAGTAGAGAATCTAGGGAAGTTGAGAGTGGGGAGTATAAGCCAAGCAGCAAGCTGAGAAGATCTGAGAAAGACTACGAAACTAGAGAATCTAGGAGAGATAGGGAGACGGATTACAGAAAGAGGGCCAAATATGACGATTCTCGATCAAGCAGACGTGATGATTATTAGGGTTGGGTCCCAAATTCGTACCATAACTTATCTCTATCAACTCTAGAATTTGAATCATATGCCTTGTTAGCATGCATCCGAAGGTTGAATCGTCTGTTTTTTTTTTTTTTTGAAATGGATGACGGATCTTCGTAAAAGAATGAAATGATGTTTGATTTCAGTCAGCGTCCTTTATTCACTTCAAAACTTGGTAAAGAAAAATTTCCCTAGCGCCTGTTTGGTACTTATCTTCTTACTGTAGTTGGATGCTTGAAGCTGTATTTTGATTCATCAAGTGTTGCATTGTTTTCTGTAAATGGTTCAAATTTTAGTTTGACCATTAATTTTCATTTCATCCAGCACTTGGGGATGATTGTTTTTGAAGCTCTTGTTGATTCTTCGTCATGTGTTTTATCTCTTGAAATGAACCTTTTCTTGCCGGTTGGAATGAAATTGAAGATGCAGAATTGATTTCTTTTGCACTAAAATTGCTGTTCTTGAATCAACTCCTTTATTTAGCCTGGCAATAGGAGGGTGAGTCGACCTACATTGAAGGTCGGTGCTCCACGGAAACTGAGTTCCCAATCTCGACCCATCCAAGAATCTGGGAGCCTTTGTGGAGATGATAGGGTAGGTCTATAGACTTCTATTCTAAGCTGTAAAACGTATGGGTTCTCTTGACTTTCTGGCTTTCGTTCATTCTATCGGTATGCTCTCACAAAAAATATGTTGGATGGATTCAGTGAAGACAAATTAGAGCTCTAATGTTAGGAATAGGGGATTTAGCTCTAATGTTAGGAATAGGGGATTGATCTTTGATGTTAAAAGCAATGATATAATTGATTGAGATTGACTACACATGATGGGTAAGTTAACCGTATCAATTAAAATGATATGAAAAAGTTAATTAGGCTACTAAAATCATTTTTCCTTTGCATTTTTTTAATAAAACATGTGAACGTAGAGAATCGAACTCATGATTTTTTGGTCGAAAATAAGTCGATTATGGAACAAGCTTATTTACCTGTTATAAATCAGGTTTGTGTAAAGTCGGTAGACTATGTTATGAGTGAAGTTGTTATAATAGACTGGGGAAGGTACAATATCACCCACTATTTTTGTTGTATTTTAATATATTACTAAACATAATTTCAACAAAAGCTCTTAAATTGATATTTAATTTATGAATCAACTACAAGTTAAAAAATTCTAAAAATATAGAATACAACATTATTTCTCACATTAAATCACTTGTTTCTTTAAATTTGAGAACCATACAGAAATACTTATTATATCTCCATTCAACCTCAACCCTATTACTAAAGGGAGGATTCCCAGAAAAAAAGTGAAGTCTAGTAGTAACATATAAACTTTTCACTATATTGTACTTGAACTAATGGTTTTTTCCTTTTGAAGCCATGGGAGATGGATCCCAAGCTTACCAAGCATCTCTTATCTTAATCTAGTGTAATGTGCTGACAGAATCTGCTCAAACTTCCTTTGCGTTTGGCTTCGGTACGCTTTCAACCGTGGTCTATCATCTGTAATCGAACGAAATAGAAGGCCTTCCTTGACATAACAAAACAGATTATCGCAAATCTGGAAATGGCGGGCTATGTTTAACTTCCAGTTGCATCAAGAGATGGAGACATAATTGAATGATCCCGCTGCTGACGGATCCATTTTTCATAATCTTGCACAATTTGCCGCAGCAGCAGAGGTACAAGGCTGTCCACGAGAGCTTGTAACATCCTAAGAATAATAGAATAGCCACAGTGAAAAAAAAAATTAGTTTCTTGTTTGAGGGTTGTAATATGTTTCTTATGCTGTTCGACTTCTGTATTACTCGAGAGTTGAAACTGGACTCGAGGATTCGTTGCAAAATTTGGGTGGAACTAGGGAGATTCATCAGAATCCAGAATCACAGTTTTAAGTTATAAGCTCGTAAGATTGACATGTATATGTGTGCTTGAGCAGGAGTTTTTTGATCAAAGTTGCAAGAACAATCTCAGGAAAATCAGTGAAATCACTTGAGTTTGATCCATTATGCAGAATATAGTTAAAAGAAAGGCAGGATTCTAATGTTGGAAGGTTAATGACTCACAAGTTCCCTGGATTCTCCACAGCAGCTGTAGGCATCAGGGTGAAGGGGAGTGTATAAATCTGCATCAAAAGCATGAATTATTCACCTATTGAGTAAAGATAAGACGGTGCACTGTGTACGAGCAAGATCGAACAGCTATAGATCATAACACGAGCAAGGAGGAAATCTTTCAACACTGAGAATCATGCAAAAGCGAAACAGATTTTTATTAATAAGAAAATGGACGGTGCGGAGAGTAAGTCGAAGAAAGGGATGAGATAAGGCATGAATTATTTGGGTCTAGTTTGATAGCTATTTTGTTTTTAGTTTTCTATTTTTTAAAAATTATGCTGGTTTAAATTACTTTTTTTAGTTATCAAATTTTAGTTTAGAATTAGAAAATGTTTAAAAAAATAAATGCAAAACAAAGAAACTCTCAGGTGAAAGTAGTATTTACTAACTTAAAATAATAGAAAACCAAAGATTAATGGGCCTTAATAGTCAAAAGTTAAAACTTTAGAGGAAATCATGAAGCTAAAAACTACACAGAACAACATAAACTATGCTCCTCACTGAGTCGTATAAAAGGGGAAAAAAACATATAACATGCCATAATTCCTCTATGATATTGATAAGATTAGAACCTCCAAAGACAGATTCAACTTCACATCAACTTCCAGAAACGAATTTGAATCAACTGTCTTCCATGTCAAGTGATTAATCATCAGGGCTGCACATTTAGATACAATTATCAACCAGAGTTTCTTGTCCTGATCACTTGAAGGCAAATTGATTAGAAAAGTGTTTCTAATCTTTAAAGACCTAACTCTGAGATAAACAAATAAATCTGTAATTCTTATAGCTGCATAAGAACTGCAGCTTAGATAGAAAGATGTCAGGGAAATTTCAGTTTACCCGAAAAGTGATCGTTCTGGCGTTCCACCAATTCCGAACCTTCGAACTGCAAATGAAATTTCAAATGTAAACATTAACTTGTGAGCTCAACTTTTATATTGTGTTTCCTATCAAATAGATAATTAATAAACTTTAATTTAATCTTAACATGCACTAGTATTCATTCATGATTTCCAATTAAGTCTCATCTAGGCAGAGATGGCAGTTTCCTGTAGACTTAAAATAAATAAGCATATAATCACATCATTAATCAATCTAATAAAATACCCAGAAGTGCCAGAATCAACAGTCTCTCACTTCAAACAAGTTAGATCTCTCCTTCAATAGATTTAAGAATAAATTTAGAGAACACAGGAAGAAACTGGTGCTATTGATCTATTGAACTATATTGTATCCTCAAATAATTATTTCCTTCATGCTCAAACATAGCAAGATCATGAAATGGTTCCAACAACTGGGAAGTCCCTGCAAGAGGAACAATCAATCAATCTCAATCACTCATGTAAAATAAATTGTAAATGGATAACTGGTACCTAATCATCTTTAAGCAGAACTTATATTGGAATTAGATAGACCTAGAAGCGTAATGTAGGTTCAACCTTAACTCGCCCCATCAGACAACTGATTCAGTACATAACCTCAAAATAGTGCAACTCTCCTTCTGGAAAATGAGGATCCTGCTTTCTTATTTTGGTCAGCCTGAACGGTTTTGTTTTTAGTAACTTGCTAAATTATATAACTACTGGATGCTATGTGTCAGTATTCCAAATATGTAATTAATGTAAGACATGAAACTCGAATTTTCTTCCCCACAAATAGAGAAACTTTAAAGAGAATAAATGCTTGCTGTTTCTACCTAACACCTAATTCAGAGACTAGAATTCCCACCTTGCACGAGAGCATCTCAACGGTAAAATCCTTGTCTGTTGGGATTACTCGTAAATCCAGTGTAGGGGCAGCTTCAAAGTTCAGAAGTTGCAAACTGGGCAGAGTGCATCTGCAAAAGCAAACACTAACCATTTACCTCAAAGATACATATAATGTTACTTTCAATGTCAATGGAGAAAAAATACAGGGTACAGATCCCCCTCGTTACAGTTACAGTAACGACTCCGGGCCATAACAGACAAAAGAGAAGATTGTAAATTCATATGGCATTGTTATAGATACTAATAGGATGCAGATGTAGCTACCAGCGGAGAAACAGAGGGATGAGACCTGTATGTGTTTGCATCAAGTAACTGAAAACTTTGCAAGGCATTTTTGTTAAGCATTGCTTCAATTCCTGAAGGGTGACACAGGAATTCGCTGATATGATACGTCCTGCCTCCGCGGCTGTCACTGTAACTGGGCAATTTGATCTTTTCCTTCCTTGTGACGAATAAGTTTGCCCTCTTGGTATTAGTCTCAGAATTGGTGGCCTTGGATAGCTTAATCACTTCAAATTTCTTCCTGAGTTAAAGTAACTATTTTTAAGAGCCAAAATGACAATATATATAAATATATATAACTTCCACGAAAACTGTTAACTAACCATCAATTTGGAATCAAGAAAGTGCAGAAAATGAATTCAGATGATGTCAATATCTTTATTCAAACACATTAGTAAAAGGGTTAACTTATAAGAAGTGATTGATTCAAAGATAAATGAAAGCTGAAACTACCATAAAGTTTACGACTGAAAATATTGTTTGGTCTCCCAGAGTGAAGTGAACAAGAAACTGATAAACTGCACCAATACTTTGCCATGGTTGGTTCGTTCTTCAGTGTCTTTAGATGGGAGAGACAACTCATACTCCCTCAGAGGTCAAAATGCACAAAGCACTTCAAAAACTGAAACATTCTAAACAACAAACCAAATTCAAAGAATTCACTCCATTAAAGAGGGAAACAAAGCTTGACTCCCTATTTCTGTTCCTACTTTCATACATATTCTTTACTCTATTTTGATCCTGAACTTTCAAACATTCTATCTTAGTCCACGTAACTTTTCATAAAAGTTCATTTTAGTAATAATTTTTATTAATAAATTATCCAACAAAAACCTAACATAAGCACATATTTTTATTCAGTCAACCGATCAATACATATCTAGAATGAACAAGTGTTTGAACTTGAAGTACATATAGTAGTAGGTAAGATATCAAGCGTCCAAACCCAAATGTATTATATTCTTGTTAAATGAATAAGAAATGAAGAGTATGAAAGTTTTTAATGCAAAGTTCAGAGACTAAAACAGATCATACAACATCTAGTTAGAACTTCATGATACAAAACACGATTTTAAACTATGATTAACCATAGAACTAAAAAATACCTCGGTGAACTAAGCTTCTGGGTAGCAAGCAATGGAAACAAGCATCTTCCTCGCCCACACCATTTAGAAGTTAAAACCACCATCCTCTCTACAAACACATTCAACAAAACAAAAATTCAGTGAATCACCATGGAAGCAAAGAAAAAACAAACCCCTGTGGGAAGCTGAGGAAGAAGATAACAGCGACGATTTTTCTTCACCTTGGACTGGAATTTTGTGCTCTGCGGCGGTCGACGGCGGAAAGCGGCGACCGGAATTCTGAAGTTGGTGGTGGAAATGCCACTAAGGAAGTGATCAGATTACTGTGAAAAAGAAAAATGAATTCGTACCTCATCTTGACGGCAACAAAAAGCGAATTTCAGGAAATTTCATATCCAGACGATACGATTGATCGTGGGATACACGTGTTCGTCGTTCGTAGTGGGAATTGGAATTCCTTATTTTAGATGATCGGAGCCATTAGCCAAATTCATATCTACGACAAGACTAGATAATGGCGTTCATCCTAAATTTAAGTGGGAATCCATTTATTGCGTCCATTTAAAAATTTTGAACTGCTTCTAATTTCGTCAAATTAAAACAAAAACCAATGATCAAATTTCGTATCTGAGTTTCTTTGTATTGTTATAGAAATTATGGTTAGACGTGAGTATGCCTGTGATTGAAGTATTAAGTATTTTTGTTTGTTGGATTATAGCAAAGTTTTAAATGCCGATGTAATTATCAAATTCTCAATTTCATGAAAATGTTAATAGAAATATTTATAAAATATTGATATTAATAGATATTTCTAAAAATATATAAATTAACCAATAAACATTTTACTAGATATGTTAAAAATTATTAAACTAATCTTTTGTTAATGTTAGTGATATTTTATATATTTTATCGATTTTTTGTAATAGGACAAATATTGATTATAGTTGATTTTGGATATTTTTAGCTTCATTTGATAACTTTTGTTATATTTTTAAAAATTAACCTTGTAAACAATTCTACTATGATAACAAAATGCTGCTAACATTTTTTTATGTGTCCGGATTCAACATTGCAAGGATAAATCGACATTTCTACAAAACTGTATAAAAATTTGACAATATAAAAAATATCACTAATAATAAATATGGACATAATATTAATATTAGTATTTTGTAATAATATTAATATTAGTATTTTGTAACGAATACTAAAACGATAGGATTGATTAGTTATTTGTTATACATTTTTTTTTTAATTTTTTTGAAAAATATTCATCAAAACACCAATATTTTGTCGAAATTTTTACAAATTTGAGGTCGCGAGGTCAACATTTATAAAATTGACTACTACGCCTAGTTTGTGTGTTTTATTATCTTTTTTTATATAAAAAAAATCTAAATAATTTTAATTAAAAAAAGGCAATTTTAGAAGTGTAATAGTTTTATAAAATGGACTAATAATACAAATGTAAATCATGGCAAAGAAGCACTCTGTAATTAATAATTGTGTCTTAATTTGTTGGTTAGCACTTGAAACATTTTATATTGCATTTAACCTAGAAAAAGAAGTGGTGGATTATTCAAATTTACGATTAAATTTAATGAAATAAAAAAATTAAGTCAAATTGATCATGAATTGGGTTTCTATTTCACGAAACAAAGTCTCCACCCATTTCTATTTTTCAATCTTTAATCTAAATAATGCTTTAGAATCTAACCCAAATTCATGATTTTTCAATCAATAAACAAAATATCGGCATCATAAAACTCACCTGTCACGTCCATACATAAAATTTCAATCTCTCAAATTGAATGCTGCAGAAAAACCTGAAAGAAAATCTCGGTATGTCGGGTCGGGAATAATTACAGAGCAATCGTCCTTATCTTATTCTCCTGAAATCTAGTAGAAGAAAGAGAGGCTTGTACGCTGTAATATGCATAATTATCACTACAACATTCTATACATCATGTAAAGGAAAAATCAGCAAATTCAAGTTTCCTTGACATTTTAACATGATATACAGCCAATGTATGTGATGAGGGTAAAACTAACTTGTACTGTGGTTGGGGGCTGAATCAAAACATATAATCACAAAAAACCTGCAGCATCGTTTTTCCATTCGTCGTCCGAAGCATCGTCCAGCAAACCCGAAAACAATTTATCCCACGGTCCATTTTCTGGCTTCTTTATCTGATACAAGAAAACACAGAATTCCTCTATATTCAATTTTAGAAGGTAAATAAATATTCAGTTTTCAAACTGAACACATCCAACTTGGATCGATAATGGACGTTTCGAGCGATTGATGCAGGGTTTCAGAAAAAGTGCAATGAGTCGAAAGAATAGGGTGGAGTGAAATTTGAGCATTTTGGTTCAACTAATAGTCGAACTCAATTAGTCCAACATAAAGTAAAGGTTTACAGCAAAAACCTCGACAAATTACGACTATAAAGCAATGCAAGACGATTGTAACGTCTTAATTAAGATATACATGCAAATATAAACGAAAAAGGAGATTTAGACCAAAAAAAATATAAATGTAAGATGCCAATTGTTTTCTTTTCACTTTCTTTTTGCAACAGATGCTGGAGTTTAAGAGGGTTGATTAGTAAATAAAGCAGGTAGTTATGATCTGATCACAATTTGAACAAGTTTTTTTTTCTTGTACCAAATAATCTCCAGCCTTTATTAGGTCTGTCAGGTTCAAGCAGAAACCATTATTACTTCGCCATACAATAGAAGCTAAAACCAAGAGCCTTTAACCAATCCTTGGGAACCAAGATATTCTTTAGCAGCAGCAGCAGCATTGGTGAAAAGATTTTATTTTTCAGATAAGGGATCATATACTCAGAATATAGAAGAAGATCATGAAACAGCCTAAAGCCAAGGGTAGAAGCAACCCCCGCCAAGAAAAATGCCTAATACCAAAAGGGATTCTAAATCAAGGTTCATAAAAAACAAACTGTGGTTTCCAAAAAAAGAAGGAAAGAAAAAAGGAACTGTGGGTTGCATCTGTGTAGTTTCCAGCATATGTGACAAGATTCAATGGCACTGAGTAGAAACTACAGATAACAAGACATGAAAAGAAACAATGAAGGCACGACGACTTACATCAAAATGCTGATCACAATGTAACAGTTCTTTTTCCTCATTATCAACATCTACAAAATTTTGAAATTACAGGCAGCAGGTGCCTTCGTATTTCTGTGCTTCTTAAACAACTTCAGATGAAACATTAGCAGCCAAAAGCGTTCCACGAAACCCTTCCTCAGTATGTTGCATGTTCATTTTGTGATCAGAAAGCTCATCTGTCCATGGCATCAAGCCCGCATTAGCCACCACTTTTTTAAGATAGAGGCAAATTGCATATGAAATTATTGAAAAGTGAAAACCCATAAGAATTCTAAGAGAGCCGAGGCTGCAGGTGATGGCAGTACAAAAAACGTATTACTTAGTTTAGATTTAGGAAACCTCGTTGAGGTTCGAACACTGGACTGGACCACAAGGGTGAAAACGTATTTCTTTGTTAGAAGAGCAAGAACAGACTCAGTCCAAAATAAAAGTCATTCATTCTCTACAGTAAGCCATCAGTGCCCCAAAAAAGACTTATAGATGCAGAAGTTTTATTCACATAATTGTAATGAAGCTAGATCACAACAGGCATGTTACATTATTGCCAGGTCCTCACTCCTTAGTCCTTGGTAAATAAACTTATCCAAGAATTCAGTCATAAAGCAGAAATATGGAGTTAGTAAATCTTAGATCACCTTAATGAAGTTCAAAACGATGCAAATGTAGTAACCATGGCAAACTTATTACCATTACACTCAGTTTCTTTCCAGCAGATGCCTGCTTTATATAATATTTTTCAGTTTATTGCTTTCCTGGTTTATTTACTGTATACCTCCAACTAGCCATCTAAACTATTTATGAGGGCAGTAACTCTATACTAATCAATAAAATAGAGTGGTTTTTTTTATGCTCTTGTACATTCTTTCAAAAAACAAAAAAAAGTATAGTTAAAATGTTTTCACCCTCGTTGTCCCATGATATAGAACATACTGAAAAATATCACCTCAAACCAACATAAAAAGAAAAGGAGAACAAATTACATGATTCATCTCCTGATATTAGACTTGAACTTCTACAAAAATTTGAGCAAGAAAATGGTAATTACCAGCAATATCTCGATGCTCATGAATCTCAGAGTCCATTACCCATAGCTTGTCCCCAGGAAATATATTCTTGTCTGCCAAAGTATCAGTTTCTCCATCAATTATTCTATTACCTTTGCGAAGTATCTGGTTTTCCTTCACAACCTGCAGAAACCAGTTTTTTACGTGAGTCAAAACATAAAATGCCATAATTTTTTTTTTTCCTTTTTTTCTGGTACATACTTTCTTCTTCATTTTTCGAACTTGAAAAGTTACTACATAAGTCTAATAGACTGGCTTTAGGAGTTCACAAAAATACATCCTAACAAGTAATAATTACATTGGGATTATAATTATTATTAGGAAACCTAAAATAACTTCCAGTCAACTTCAAAAATCTAAGTTTTCCTTACCTAAATGTAGTAAATCTTGAATATAATGAATCTACATATTATATATAAGTTCGGGGGTAGAGTTCTTTTTTAGAAAACCTCTAGGTCAGTAATTTTATCGCTTGTATAAACGTGTGAATCAACATTAAAAAAATAAAAAGACAAATATTTGAGCACACAATTCAAGCATGTAGTGTGAAAGATAGTTTCAGCAAACCAATTCAGTTGACATATGAATCTGTTCTGGAAAGCTTACCCCAAAACATTCCCATATCATCATCTTTAATTGGTACACTGAAGTCGAACCAGAAACTTTTAGATTAACAAAATTCCCTGAATTTGTCTTCCTGGCACGCTTTGAGATTCGGCGATCTGGATCAAAAGTGGACTCAGGAGCTTCCAAAATTGATTTTGGAGCCTCCTTCCCACGGGCAAAATATACACAAATATCCTCGCCAGTATAATTAAGTTTCTGCATCAGCTCACAGCTTTCTCGTTCTCCTATACACTCTTCACATACCTATTCCATTGAAAGACCACTTTAGAACAAATGAAGCAAGCCAGAGTTTTAGTACCAAGACAACAACTCGCACATCACAAGATAGTTGAGAAACTCTAACCCTATGCAATATCAAATCCATAACAATTGTCTTTCTTTAAAACCTATCCATACATAATTAGAAGATTTCTTCAAGGCAAAGGGAGATGAATCATTTTATGGTTACTTCGAGCCAAATTCAGTGCTTAACCATGAGTTTGTAATTAAGTATTAGAGGATAAGGCGTTTGATTAATTGCCAATACTTTATTAAAGATAAAAGCAATCTACTGCTTCACGAGCATTAATTATGAAACGATCAAAATATGTGATCTTGTGATTTCAGTGCCACCAGTGGCTAAGAACCAACTAATTGAATAATAACTGTCTGCAAAAAGGATAGGTAAGGAAAGATAGCCCCCAAACCAAGATAGTAACAAAAACTTTTAACCATGAATTTTATATGCCATGGGGGTGGGGTCAACCTCATGGTTAAATATTCTTTTTGGGTGTCTTTTAGATGAAAAGCTTACTCTTTTTTCATTAATAAAGAAAAAGAGTCCCTGGTGAGACTCTCTCTCTCTCTTTTTTTTTTTTGTAACTGTGATTAGAGAACAATCTAGCAGGTTTGCCTGTGAAGAACTGTCGAGGTTGTATGTATTTCAATTGTAACAATATTCTCATCTGGCAGTATTTATCCTGTTTCATATCACCATTTCAAATATAGCATGATTCTAGTTTTGGTTTAAAAAAAAAGGAGAAAGAAGAAGAAGAAGAAAAGCTTACTGTAATGTGGTTAGTGGCCAAAACACTTCTATGATAAATTTGGTTGGAGTAATTGAAGAATTTTGGAATGTTTTAAGAATCGTATATGAATTTTGAAGTTTGTTTGGTTTAAAGTTTCTTCTCCTTGTTTTCTCTCTAAAGCTATTGCAATTATTTCTCCACCTGTTGAACAGAAATTGAAGAGATTTATCATGAACTTCTTTGGCCCTGGGCTTGTGAGGATATATTATCATCTCTCCCTTCTATACATTTACTTCCTTTTGATGAAAGGTTTGTTTTTTATGAACAAATTTTACAATTAACCCCCGCAGACAGAAACGAGTTTAGAGTTCAGGATTACCTCAGGATCAGTCTTTAGTAGAAGTTGCTTGAAGTCCCCATTGCTAACTTCATCATGAGAACTGAGATGCTCTTCCAGCATTGCATTCTCTTTGGAGGACCCGTCCATATCATTCCCTGCCTCTGCAAAACTACTTGACTCAATCACAGCAGAGATGCCACGTGCCTCGCTACCTTCCCACTCTTCGCAGAAGCATTTCCAGTCATTCTCTGAAATGATTGTTAAAACATCTGCCTAAAATTGAGGGAACAAAAAAGAAAACGTAAAAAGATATGAAATGTAAAGGCAAAAATTGTTTTTGCTTCATAAGATTTCTAATCATGTCACTGACCATGAAGGCATTGTAACTTTCAGAAATTGTGTAAGCAAAAGTCGCAATATATAATTAAGACAAACAGAAAAAGGAAAAAGAAACAGGAACTCAACATTATAAAACAACATTTCCAAAGGGATGAGGTCAACAAGTGGAATCACAACCGCATGATGTTTAGGTAACCATAGAATTTTCAAGGAGAATACTTTATGTGATGTCTAGGTAATAAAGAACTTTTCAAGAGAGTATTTTTTAAAAAGAAGTCAAAAGGAAAGAAGATTGATCCAAAAATAGCTCTAAGTTATAAAGGAAATATTAACTTGCAGCGTAGGAAAAAAAAGAGATCATATTCAAATAAACTCATGCAGTATACTTACAGAGGATTTCTGCTGTACCGTACCACGTTTGCACACCAGGTCAGGAGGTCTTTCAAGGAGGCGCGAATGCTGCATCCAAATACATGTACACGGTCAAATTGCAGCAATTAATCCAAAATTAGAAGGAAAAAAATTCACAAGAGCAAAAAATAAGAGAGTAACAGATCTGAAACAAAGATAAATATTTTAAGATTTTTTTTTATGTGAAACCATGCTTTCATTGAGAATAAATTGAAAGCAATAGAAAATTATTTAGAACCATGCTTCACGAACCAGAGTCAACTTTAGCAAAAATAATTTCCATTCACTAAACCAAGGGAAAAAGAAGTTTGAATAATTAAATAACACCATGCATTCAGCACCAAGTGCTGTCTAAAAGATTATAATGGGCAATAAATAATCCAAAAATCTTAAGAAGTCAGTGACACATTACCTTTTCACACCTCAGAAAATTAATCACGCCATCTAAATTGTCAGGCTTCTCAGCAAGTGAAGCACTTTTTCCACTTGCATTTATGTAGTTTCTCCACTTTGAAAGCCATGATGTAGGCACTAAATAATACTTGCAATGCAGAGAAAGTGGAACAAATTTTCCAACGGCTAATCTTTCGTGATTCTGTCGCTGCTTAAGCTTCACTTCTCTGAAATATAAAACAGGTCAAGTAATTCTTCAAGTCAAATCAACTAAAAAATTTTACTTAAATATAATGAAATGACCTTATGGAATCTTCCATGACTGCCACTTCAGATAATTCCTCACTGCACAGAGAACATTGTCTAGCATCCGAGAGAAAAGTTGCAACCCCAGTAGGATCATCAGGTTTTACAGCAATAGCATCTTCATGTAAGAAAAGCCAGAGATCTTCTGGAACCAGCACTCGCTTAGCTCCAGCAGCTTGCTCTGGCAAAAGTTGTCCATGAGGACACCTTATTGAGGCGGTTGGTTCTGCATCAGCTTCAGAAGGAGCGTCAAGAATTTTTCTTTTGACCCACTGTTGCAACCTACAAGCATGACTGCATGAGTGATATATGTGGCCAAAATAATCTAACTCAGAAATCATGAGAACTTCATCGAACTTCAATACTATAGTAATAGACAAAAGCACTATGGAGGAAAGTGGTTGCAGCTAAATAGGGTTTAAAAAAGGTCCTTGGGCGGAGTCAGGACATCTTCTAAATGAAGAGCTCCTTGTTAACATAGTCAAGTTGGTGGTGAGTAATGAAGATAATATTTATTCTTGGGAGGATCTTTTGATTAGGGATGGCTCTTTCTTTACTTCTTCTCCAAGAATTTATGGATGAAAGTGTTTGAATGAAGACCTTCCATTCACTCACATCTGGAATACTGATTCTTCCCTTTGGGATTCATATTTTAATAGAAATTTGAATGATTGAGAAGCTTCAGTATGGATCTCTAACGGAGATCGTCAAACACTTTCGTCGTCATAACTCTTGCAATAAATGGCTCTGGCTCAAAGATTGCACAGCTGATTCCAGTTGCAAGCCTCACTTAAAAATATTGCAACGTAATCCAAAGTCCTTGATCGTTGATTTTGCAACTGGATTTGGAAGAATTCTTGTCCAATGAAGGTCAAGATTTCATATGGAAGCTTCTTTTGGATGGCACAAATTCTCAAGATAGATAAAGTCCAATGGGAAGAATCCCAGAAGATATCTCTCTCCAAACCGATACATTGTGCAAAAGAACCAAAGGAACTCAAGACCACATTTTAATCTTTTCTTTGATGACCTTTAAGTTATAGCATACCCTTTCTTATTCTTTCAATTGGCAAATAGTTCTTCCCTATAATATCATTAACTTCTTGTATATTTGTTATGTTGACCAACCCTTCAAAGCTGAATCCAAGACTAATTGGATGAATCTAATTCATTGCAGCATTTTTTTGGACTTCGTGGCTTCAAAGAAACCATAGAATTTTTTATGGAGATGAGAGATTGTTGCCAGTTCTGTGATCCTATTGATCTTTTCACTCTTTCTTGATGCAGATTGTCCATACCTTTTTGTAGAAGCAAGTCCATTTTCTAATCAAGTATCAGCTAAGCAGAATGATAAGAGACAATCCAAGAATTTTGAAACAATACCATGTCCTAGAAACAAAATATGTTCCATCTGGATAATTGCCTGAAAGTGCACTTAACGCAATTTCTTTCATAGACATTCTGCGATCCTTGTAGCTGTCAGCACAAACTACATTTCGAGCACCAGCAACAAGGCAAACCATACAGATATCTTCATTGGTCAATTTGGGGCCCCCACCATACTAATTTTACAAGAAAGCAGAAATAGCAGTCAGCCATATGAAAAATAGATAAATAAATAAATTCAGTGCTAAAAAGAGCATCGAGAACAACAAGTACCACCAAATATTACACAAGGAAGAAATCATGAAACCAAGGACAGATAAACCAACCCATGGAATTCTTTATGGTAAGGCAGTAAGCACATACCTTGGAGAATAACTTGTCCCAAGCCTTGGTTGACAATCTTTTTACGCAGGTTACTTTTGATATTGGAACTTTTCCATGCGAACACTGTATAGGTGAACTGTCAAGAATGCTGCAAACCATAATAAAGTAAGGTGTAACAAATAAAAAGAAGTTAGATATCCCTGGGACTCCTCAAGAAGTAGCATTCTCACCAAAAAATAATAATAATAAATCAAACCCTTGGGAAAAATAATAGAAACAAATGATTCAAATGTGTTACTTATTTACAGCACTTGGCATCTCTCTTACTGTCTTTTTTTTTTTTTTCTAATTCAGTGCCCTTTACAATTGATTAACTGTCTTACTGTTTTAAGGAAAGCTCTGAAACACATGACCATCAAGCAACCCAAAACTAGAGTTAGAACAACTTCAAGGGACAAGTACGAATATTATTTTTGTACTTACGGTGGGGAGACCTTATCAGCCCACTGGCGGAGCCAGTCTGTGGAAATCCAACAAAAGGGTTCCTCAACTGAGTGAACAGGGGCCTCAGACAAAATTGATCGGACCTCTTGTCTCCGATCATTGATACTACCCAATTCAACTTCCTTCTTTGAATCATATTCTTCGCAAGCTATGACATACGATTCATTTAAACTACTTATCTCATCACACAGATGTGATGGAATAGACAGGCCATCCCGGAAAGGAACCATGTTACCTTCTACTTCTTTACTTTTAACATCGCAGCTAGTAACTCTATTTGAGTTCTCCTTCCCCGTGCACCTTAAATTATACATCAGCATGTAGGCGTCATTAGATGAAAATGTGTCAGTGGGACAACCAATACCAGATTCTGTTGATTGCTGAAGAACCCCATTCGTTGGATTCCCTTCAGCAGTAACATTTACTTCTTCCTTGGAAACCAACTGGACAGCTGATTCAGTTCTAACAGGTTTAGAATTAGCATTTGATTGTTTTTCTCCAAATGGATGATGACCTAATTTTGAGACATGTTCATCATCAAACTCCCACCACTGCCCTGTATTTTCATCCTTAATGTGAGCTATGTAATGGCCACTGTTGACAGCGGTTCCTTTGTGAATCAAAACCGCTGACAGGTCATATATTGATTCAGACTGAGAAGACTCAGCTAGCCTATCCCGCATATCCAAAACTCCAGGAAAAGAGAGGGCAGATGTGATTTTCTTCTTTGTTGTAGTCTGCTGACACATTCAAAACAGAAGCGAAAAGAACAATCAAACCCGAAGGAAAAAATAGAACCGACATAACAAAAAATCAACGACAGAAAGCTTACATCATTAGTCAAATGTTTTAATAAGATATCATAATTGTGAAAATTTACGAGGAAGTTCAACAAATGGTTACTATTTGACAGAAGAAACCACATGAAAACACACATAAAGCTGGTGATTACTTCTCAAATAACATTTAGCTACTGATAGCCAAGAAAGAGATATGATGATTTTCAGTACCTTTGGAAGAAAAACACATCGCTTCAGCTGAAAATTTAGAACAGGAGGCAATGTACGTAGCTTTATACTGCGAGTGGCATTCACTCTGGATTTACATGACTCACAAAAATATTGATTATCCCCATGAAGCTCTTCCACACTAAGATAATCATCTAAACTCTCATCTAAACTTTTCAAGCCAAGAACATTCAACTCCAACTCATAGAAGTCCTCCATTTTGGAAGAGGCTTCAGAATCTTTTCCGCACTGTGAGCACCTAAATATGAAGCCAAGATATCATTATCAACTTAAATTCAAATCAACTGAAACCTAGAATAAATTGTGCAAAGAAGTTATGAATGAAATTTTGGAGATTGTTTTATTTCCTCCAGAGAGAATACATGAGAATTGAAACTTCACCCCGTCCCCCAACCTCAGTCCCACCCACATACACTAAAAGTGATCCAAAAGAGAGAGATCTCCAATAATACAATAGAGGTAAGCAGGTCCCTAGAGGAGAGAAAGACTTCAAACATTTGAGCAAATAATATCATATCCTCCACTCGTATTTTCTTATGATGTGATCAAGGCGCTCTCATAATATAAGCAACCACAGTCGGCTCATCAACATGAAATGCCCAAGCGTCCAACCATCCAGAAAGGTTAGAGAACTGATATAAATAACAGTAAATAAATTCTTTGTACACAAAATTGATCAGTAAACTTGAGCCATAACTTCTTAAGAGAAATAATAGACTTTAAACTCACTGAATACGGAATTGGTAACCAATAAAAAGAAAAATGAAAAGTGGCAGCAGCAAGAACCCAAAGTGATCATACCCTTATCAAAGTAAATAGACACCAAAAGGTATATTTTCAAACCAAAAGCATTGGTTCAACCAGAAGATCCTAGCCAAAAAGACATGAAATATATTCCTTACATGCATATATAACAAGATCAAACAGAAAGAACTAACCATTGAATGAATCATAAAATAATAAAGGAAACAAATGTGACACAGCGACCAGTTAAGCTTAATTATATTCAGCAGTCTGGATTGGTCAGAATGGTATATTAATCAATCTGAACAATTTAGACGATGATGGTATATTAGATATGTAGATGTGAAAGCATGTACAATTATTCAAAAAGTGAAAGGAAAGAGAGAGTTGTGGCATTAAAAAGTGATCAAAATATTAATTAGTCGAGCCACTGAGGTGTTGCGGCTAGATTCTGGTAAAACAAATTCAACTTACGTAGTTACATGAGACACACTTCCACGGAAAAGATCTTGAACGATCGTCCTTGCTTTAGCTTTTGAATGACTCAAGCAATGCTCAAGAAGAGAAAGAAGCAATGTAAGAAACTCGTGACTATCCTGCTGGACTCCATTATCTAACTCCAGTGTTTTTATGAAAGGGAATGAATCCACAAAAGCCATTTTACTGGCATGCAGGAGAGCAAAGAGCCGTACAAGCTGGTCTAGAACTGGATTTTGTTTCAAAACATCAGACTCAATAGAAAATATGCCTTCTCTGAAGCACTTGTTCATGTATAGACACTGAAGTATGCTATTGGCATAGCATGTTGCACCAAGATTTGTCAGACCAGCAGGAAAGTTTGGAGAAGTACGGAGATCCTTGGATGGATCTGAACCAAGAGCTTGCACAATTTCTGACATCTTTTGCCATAAACCAAACTTTCTGCTACCAGTAGGAGGTGGAATCAGTCCACAGAAACAATTTGGGCTATCCTTAGTATTCAGCCGGCATCCTTGACAAACTGGCTTCCAGATCATATAGAGCTGATTGATGTCATCTTTGGTTATTTCCCCAGATGAGTGAATTTTCCTGTAAAGGATAAAACTTGATTCAAAACTGCATTATACAAGTAATAAATCTGTGCAACAGAGTGAAAAGTGAAACTACTATTGCCTCAATATGTCAGAACTGTTATCGATATTGTCCTCTTGTTTATGCCTTTTGTTCTTACTACGCGTAGTTGGTCGGCTCATCTTGAAGACGAACTAATTCTGCATAGAGAAACAACACCAGAACACCACTTCAGCCTGTAGTATTAGTAACGTAGAATGGCATTTATATCACATTCGCAACAACCAAAAAGGTGTGAAATATTCAACGTCCCTATGCTTAAATAGATATATGGAAACTTTTACAACCTACCAAACCTTAGCCCTATCCAGCCCTCGCCCCAGAGAAAATAACAAAAGTTGAAAAGAAAAAAGCTGTTTAAAATAAACAAATAAATAAAACTGCCAACCATATTCTCCTTCTTGGGGTAAAGTAATCGTCCAAATTGCACTTAGAAATTTATGATCATTCCACAAAGTTCACAGCAGTCGAGACCAAAACTCTGCTAGAGGAAAGAAAGAACACACGGGGAGTTGACAGTCTTATCTTCTCTAAATCGTTACAATATCTTCTAGAGACTCGTCAGCGCATAGCAAAAGTCATGATCTTGTAATCTCTTCCACTGGGGAAATTTTTTTAGTGAAATAACTAACAATAACAGAGGGAAAAAAAAAAGAAGCGCCCGCCTGAACAAAGCAAACCTACATCGAAATATAGGGATACAAACCACAAATAACAGTCATTTTAAAGGCCCCTCGCCCATCACCAAGTAAATTTCCCTCGAAAACTACAAATGAACAACAATTTCCATTGGTACAAACAAAACAACACCCACAATATATTCTGAACTTCAAAATTTGGGGGGAAAAAACGGCACCGAAATTGACTGAAAAAACGAATTGGGATTATTGCCCACGAACAAAAAAAAAACAAAACAAATTAAAACCCAGGCAAGAACATGAGTTCCATCATAAGCAGAAAGTTGAGGGGTTTACCAGGAAGTGGAGAAGGAAGAAGCGTGGTGTGAGTTGAAGCTGGAAGATCAAAGGCAGTCGCAGAAGAAGAAGGACATGAAATTAGGTGAAAAACAAAAGCTGCATCCGGGTGATTCGAGCTCGTGGGCAGCAATTGTTGAGATTAATTTGGGAAGAAGGCATGTGTCGCATTGTTGAGTGTGATAAATTATGAGAGAAGAAAATAATAGTGAGGAGAAAGAAAAAAGAGAGGTTGCAGGGTCTGTGAACAAGGGTGAGGGGTCAGACGGGTCAGAGGAACAGAACGGACTTCAGGAGAGAGAGAGAGAGAGAGAGAGAGAGAGTTTGAAAGGGACAACTGTATATTTTCACTTTTTATTTTTTTTTATTTATACTTGGATTTTGAGTGTTCGAATCACGGGTCGGGTCGGTCGGTCCGGGTCTTTTTTTTTTTTGCTTTTTTGACGGATGAGTCAAAGTACGGTTTCACCGACTTTATATTCTTTCATTTAAAAAGTTTATTTATCCAATTAAATTATGAGGTCACTGTCTAATATAATTTTGAGTCTTTTTATTTTAGTCATTTAAGTATTTTAATATAATTTGACAATAAATAGCATATATGTATATTATCTAAATCAAAGTGAAACACACCAAAAAGAATTAAATAAAAGAAAAACAAAGTCCAATTTTATTTTTGTTAAATCACTGATATTTTCAACAACCAATACCGTTGTTATGCCACATAATTCAATCAATGAAAAATGGTCGATATTTGTATACATTATAAATTTAAGTAAATAAATCAACACTTAAGTAACTCTAACATTAAATTGTGACTTTTTTACTCATTTAGTGAAAACAATTTCATTGAGTGATGCAACATGTAGAGTAGAGTCAAAGCGAGCATAACTCAACGATAATTGATATATATCTCAAACCAAGAGATTGTAAGTTTGATTCTTCACCCTCACATGTTGTGCTAAAAAACGACATGTAAAGTAGAGATTCGAGCTTTTAAATGATTAATGGTATTAGACTACTCTTCTAGCCAAACGCGTGGACCATCACCTATCAAAGGCAACCTAAGGACTAGTCAACTTCCAACTCGATCAGGCATATACCCATTTTCTAAGCTAATCAAATTTCTTCTCTTGCTGCAACCTTCCGATATATATGTGAATTAAACAACGATTTATAAGAGGTTGGCAAAACTTCCCCTCTAAATTTCGTATAATAATTCATAAACTATTGTCTTAAGGTTAGAAGCCATAGCAGTACTAGAGTTGAGTTTATAGAAATTATCTCTCAGGGAATACATTCACACCGACTTATCATTTATGCCTACATTATCATTTGATTTTTCCATTATTGAAATTGGATAATCTATAAAACCACTATTTTTTTTTTTGGTACGTAGGTAGGGTGAGATGAGAACTCACAATTTTTTTTATCGAATAATTAACGTTGAGATATCAAGATGCAAGGAGCGTTTAATTTAAAAATTTTGTCCGTATGCAAAAACATTGAGTATGTTGTTTTACCATGCTATGCCACGTGATCCGGCTAAAATAACTTGGCAAGTTAATTAAGACGTTGACGAAATTGTTATTCAATTAATAATTAGTCATTTTTGGTTTTATGTAGTTGATTTTCCAAGAAAATGTAATAAAGTATTATCTTAAAAATAATAATAATAATAATAACAAAGTCCGACAGTGTATTTGTTGTACTATTGAATAACTCAAAATTCAGACTATATTGCAAGAAAAAAGACCGGCCTCGTAAACTAGTTAAGATCGGCGTAAAAAGAACAAATAGATATGTTAATAAGGTGGACACTAACAACAAAATCACAAACACAACAAAGTCACATATCTCGTAAATGAGACAAAACATAATAACTAATTTATGAAAATAAATCTCAAATAGACTTATCAATGGTCGGAAACTAAAACAAACATTATCCTACCAAATTCCTTTCTTCTTCATGAACGGGATCAAATAATTTTCTTTTGAATTCTTTAATATTCGTGATCAAAATTATATCCATTAAAATTAAAATTATGAAAGAGTTATATATAATGCAAAACCTATTAAAACAACTTATGAACTTAAACATGTGAGGTTAGTTCAACTTATGTTATTATTTATGTTCAAATTCCTATTTTTAAACACAAATAATAACAATAATACATAAACTAACAAATTTAAATTGAGCATCAAATTAAAGAAAAAATGATGATTGATCATTCACCCTAAATATTTAAGACAAAGTAGATTTATGTCGAAACCTTCCTCCTTTCATTTTCATTATCTAGAGCTCAATTGAATATTAAAGAAATGTGGAAAATTATGGGCTCATTTTTCGTTGTACCAACTTGAACATAATTCAATTGATTAAAGTATTAATTTTCAATAAAAAAAGTCATAAATTCATATCTCTCCCTTACTTGAAAAGAATCTCAGTGTTAAAAAATATTTTTGTAATTTTATCAAGACGATTAAATTTTAACTATGTGTTTCTGAACTATAAATAATACAAGTAGTATATTTAATTCAACATAAAACTAATAAAGCTGTTTAGGAAAGATATTTAAATTTAAGAAAAATGAAATTTCAAGTAGTCCTTTTATTTTTGTAATACATGTTTCCAACGTATCGAGAAAAATCATCTTTAGCACTATTTTATGTTATCAAGGAGGGCAACATTTCCGTTTCTTATTTGAAAAACATAACTATTTTTTATAATTATTTCTTAACTTGTCTATCGAAAAAAAGTAGGTAACCACTAAATTAACTTTAAATTCAAAAAGTAAAAATTTTAGATGAAAATTGATATTTTAAATTAAATATTCATATTTTGTTATATTACTTTCTAGTATTTATTATTCATTTTATAAGTCAATAATGATAAATCAGTATTTTTATTTTATGAATAATGATAAAACAATAATTTTATTTTATTAATCTATTTATTTTTGTTGTTTCCAAAAATGTTAGGAATGTTTCTAGGAAAATGAAAAACAAAAAATATAAATAATTATCAAATACGTAAGTTTTTAAATAAAATTGAAAACGAGAAACAAGAATCGACAACATTACCAAACATACTTTAAGTTTCTTATTCTTATTCTTGTTTCCAATTTTTTCTACAACATAGATCATTTTATCATTTTTAATTTATAAAATGCATAAAAAAATATATATCAACACATAAATATTGCCCAAATATTCTGAATATTTAATTGAAAATTTTAATTTTTATACAAACCTTTTTCTATTTAAAAATCGAAAACAAGAATAATTACCAAACATGTTTTTATTTCTTTTTAAAAGAAAAAAATAGTTATCAAATACAATTCCATTTTTTTTAATTAAAAATGAGGAAACGAGAATAAAAAACAAGAACGTTACCCAAACTATTTGAAATATCCAAGTCCTTGCCACGCCACGAGTTTAGGGGACATAACATGCAAACTGTAACTTAAATAGTAAACTTTTGGTGATACCCCAAAACAAAAGAAGGGAAAAAAAAAAAGATGAGATCTCACACTCTAAGAAACAAAGAATGACTAATTGAAAAAGTGGTTTTGGCTCGACGTCCTTCAATCTTTCTTTTTACCCTGAAGAATCCTTGGCAGTAGTCAAATATTCACTGCCACTGAAAAACAGTCCTCCAAACTTTCAGGCCAAACAACACCAGTCATTGGTTTAGTACCCTTGTCCATGTGCAATAAGGGCCCCCCCTCTGAAGTCTGAAGTCGACATTTACCATTCTTTCCAGAGTTTCATCCTTTCTAACTCACTCCCTACCCACTCCCTCTGATCCAAGTACAAACACGCTTTTATGTATGCATTAAACATCGTTTTCTTTTTCGATTTCTTCGGTTGGGGGGTCCAGAACCTATGGATAGGAGATTTGGAGGTCAGTCTCAGGAAAAGAACAGCTCGATTCCATGATTCAGGGCCAAACAAACCGTCTCCTTCGCCAACATGTCTTCAGTCACCAGATCAGCTCTGTAAAGTGATTAGCATCAACACTGTTACTCGAACCACGGGTTCGTCTGTAGCATCTATGGTGTTCATGGTTTGACAGAATACACAAGGGTAATGGAAAGTTGTACCGCATGATGGTCCCCATAAGAGCAGTGAGTGTAATGCAATGATGCATTATATAATGGCTACTTTGTTTTATTCAAGCCTTGGATTGATGAAAGAAAATGAAGTTTGTTTTGCTCTTCACCTTCGCCATTCAGCGTTAACATGACCGAGATAGGATCTGCACATCAAGATGCACCCCGTAGTAACAGCAGTTTGATAAGGCGAAGATCTAACCGCAAAATCACATGTAACTCTGCCACTTTGCATTATACGACCAAAAGTTACTATATACTCCATGGGCATGACTGCATTCAATTACTCGAACGTGATCTTGGTTGCATCCTCATCGTTGTGGAATCATGCCTTCACAATAAAACCAGGCAGATACTTGTGCCACAGTTTCAAGTCCATCAGCTGCATAAACCCATCACGAAAGAGGAGCATACAGCTTATAGTTCTTCTCCAAAACACCTTCCAAATCTCCTACTCGATTGGATGCTTAGAGTGCTATGTTTCCTGCTCGATTGGATTCTTAGAGTGTTATGTTTCCTGCACCATCTGCTTCACAAGGCAGTGAAAACAGTTACAATGATAAATCAGACTTGATTTTTGCATCAGAAAATGTCCCCAAAATATAATTCTGAAAACAAGATCAAGACCCAATCAACGAGAACAGTAGAACAAGAGCTGGAAATCCTAAGGATATTATATAAACCTTGAAAGCTTCTAATATTGCATGATGTATAAAGTAGAAAGTTTATGGCAAGAGATCGATGTTTTTTTCTTTTTATAACTGGAGTCGGAGCTTTAGCTCCCCCGTATCCAGGGACACCCACGCCCACCCCAAGGCTCGGACCCGGGATATATCGAGAGTTTTTGGTATTAAGTTCACCAGAAGGTTTGAACTTGAGATCTATGATCAAGAGACCCTAAGCCCTTGCCAACTGGGCTACCCCTAAGGCTTGACAGGAGATCAATGTCATCAATACTAGAATTGTGAGAAGACAATTGTGAGAAGACAACAACAGATTAAGAAATATTGGATAAAGCATGATCTTAGACACATACCTCTCGGAGGAGAACATTGCCCATTAGAAATGTCCACAAACAGAAGGCTGAATTATAACTCAGTAAACAGGATCTGACGCCAATCCCCTATGTTTGTTTGTGACACAAAACAACAGTGCTGTTACCTTGCATAATTTATTTTGATAAACAACTCCTCATACCATCATTGCCAACCACCTTTGATAAAATTTAAATGCCATGTCAGGCTCTCCTATTCTATGGTACTTTTCAAAAATAACTCTAAAAGGAACAATATCCATTGGCAAACCAGATTTATGTAACTTGATAAATAGATCTTCTGCCTCCTTCATGTCACCACACATACAGTGACCTCTTATTAGTTCTGTGTATGTTATCTTATCTGGTTCGTATCCCTTTCTCAGCATCTCATCGTATAATTGAAGGGCAAAACGAATCTGTCCACGCTTACACGCGCCACTTACTAATAAATTATAAGTAACGACGTCAGGTAAAAGACCCAACAAGAGCATATCCTTTTTCAGAGAATAAGCATTAAATATGTTCCCTCCTTTAACTTGTGCATGAATCAACGCATTATAAGTAAATACATTTGGTAGCACACCGGTAGCCAACATCTGATCCCTGATGTACAATGCATTGCTCAGATCTCCATACCTTCCATAACAATCAATTATCAGGTTCCAAATATGAGGCTTGGGAACCATTGATTTCTCTAACATGGAATGAAGAAACTCATTAGCTTTGATAACATCTCCATACATGCATAGACCTTGAATAATCATTTTGTATGAAATTTGATCTGGAGAAACACCCATTCTTGACATGACATCATGGATATAGCAAGCCTCGCCAAATTTGCCCTCTTTACAAAGATCACTAATTAGAGTGTTGTATGTAAAAATATCAGGGAGAAAACCTCTCTTAATCATATCAACAACATAGCCAAATGCAATTTTCTTGTCCTGATTCAAACAAAGCCCATGAATAAGGACATTATACGCGATGGCATCAACCTTTGTCTTCTTTTCAACCATCTCATCCCATAAAGCAATAGCCTGAATCATATCTCCACTTTTAAAACAACCATCCATTAGTATAGTTGATGTGATTACGTCATCTGTTGTTTCAATATCATCATCTAGGATATCTTCAAGAAGCTTCCTAGCATCCTCTAAAAGGCCTCTCTTGCACAATGCATGTAAAAGTATGTTATAAGTAATTCTACTTGGCGTAATGCCACTATTAGCCATAGTATAAAATAGGCCAAGAGCTTTATCCATATTCTTATGAAGGCAGGAACCCTTAATAATAATGTTGTATGTGGCACAATTGGGAGAAGGACCCATTTCTAACATTTCCCTAAAAAGAGAATCTGCCATCCCCATATCACAGTTTATGCACAGTCCATTAAGAAGATAATTGTGCGTGAGTAAATCAAGAACAAAACCTTCTTTTATCAACTTTCTCCGAAGCAAAAGAGCTGCTCCTAACTTTCCTTTCAAACACAAATCCCTAACCATGACTCTGTGGTCAGGCTGAACGGCCGCCAAAATGCATCTCTGAAGACCTGTCTTCGCTAAAGATATGCTTTCCCTGCATAATTTTTACACATTTAACATATTTCTACAAGATTGTACTTTGTATCATGAAAGACATATAAATCATTATATTTTATCTGATACTGAGCATAAAAATAATTGGGAGATCAAAACAGAGTGAAAGATTCCATCAGTCATCAAATTTTAACTTTTTTATCTCATCACAAGGAGAAATAATAGGATATCAATAATCACATGACATTGCACTCAAATATCAATTATGAATACTCGACTCTAAAGAAAGAAGCAATCGTCCCAATGCTAAGCAGAACAAATTGTATCAACTTAACTTGAGTGAATCTATAGGTGGATGTGAAAGGACTCATTTCCCAGACAATCAAATCAAATGACAATTTTTTTTCATTATAATAAACAGAGAGGAATTCCTATCTTGATAATGAAAGCTTCTCTTCTTACCCAAAAAAAACACACGCGCACACAGGGGAATCTATGTATTTAGTCAAAAGAATCAGGAATTT